TCAGGGTCGGCTGCGACACGCTCACGCCCACCCGGCCACGCACTGGCCCCAGACCCCAGCCAGCTGTCCCGCAGCCACACTGAACGCTGAAACCCAGAGGGTCCGACCAGCAACACGCAACCAACGGTCCAAAGTCTTCGGACGAGCCCGTCCGACTGGGGCTTGTCGTTACTGGAAGTAAACATCCATCGAAAATGTCACTGACTTGACATTCCATCGCATAGCCCCCACCCTTACCGTAATTTGTCGATGCCACAAGACAGACTACAACGATAACGATACGATAACGACGATAACGATAGCGATAACGATTATTATTCCATCTGCTCTAAGGACAGCGCCAGATATCGGTGTAGTTTGTCGTCTCGACTGGACTGGGCCGCGGCCGGAGCCGACCCCGGGGGAGACGACCGGCGGCGAGGCGTGCCGAGCCGGCCCGCCGCCACACCGTCAGCAACGCTCACCTTGAGAGCGGCCAGCGACATCTGGCCGGTGTAGATGTACTGGAGCAGCACGCGGAACGGCTCGACGGCGGCGCCGGTCAGCGTCACCTCCTTCTCGCGTGACTCCTTCATGCCGCCAAACAGCAGTGCCCTGGCCGGGGAGACGCGCCATCAAGCGCCGTCCACAGCCGCCGCCGTCAACGCTCACCACTGTCATCAGCACGGTCACACTGCGTCGTCCACGGCCGCTACCGTCAACACGGTCACACTCCGTCGTCCACGCCCGCCACCATCAGCACGGTCACACTCCGTCGTCCACGGCCGCTACTATCAGCAAGGCCATACACCGTCGTCCACGGCCGCTGCCATCAGCACGGTCACACTCAGCCGTCCACGGCCGCTGCCATCAGCAAGGCCATACACCGTCGTCCACGGCCGCCGCCATCAGCACGGTCACACTCCGTCGTCCACGGCCGCCATCATCATCCACACTCCATCCAGAGTCGCTGCCATCAACAGTCATCGCCGCCCACAGCTGCTGCCATCACACGGTTACACACGGTCCGATCACCACGACACCGCTGACACGTACTGTGGCCTGCCCGTCCGCCTCCAGACGCGGTCCCGGACCCGGCTCGACAGGCACAGCCCGGCGCACCGCGGTCTTCCGCTCTACAGCCGACCCCACGGTCCATTTACCTGTATTGTTAACTTACTGGGTTTGACATTCCATTGCATAGCCCCCAGCACAACAGTACTTTGTCGAGGGCACATGACAGACTACAACGATAACGATACGAGCCCATGGTCCACCACTTACCTGCACTGTTAACGCTGGAGTTTTCAAGATTTCATCATGAAACTTGGATGTTTTCGTGGCGCTATTCGACCCTAAGCAATTTGTGCGGTACACTGGCGCACCAGCAAGCTGACGGTACCACATATAATTGGCAGTCGTTAGTACCGCCGGACCACCAGACCGGGTGGGCGCGGCCGACTCACCTGAAGTACTCGCTGCGGGCGGCCAGCACGGAGCGGTGGGCGCTGAACCGGTGCCCGTCCACCACCAGCACGACGTCGCTGAACTCTTCGGAGCGGCACAGCAGCGCCAGATCCTGCGACAGCTGGCTCACGTGGTCGACCTCGCCGCAGCCACGGCCGGCCGCCACCAGGCCCTGGTGCTGGTCACTCATGGCGGCGCGCCGCTGCCTGGCTCCGGCCGCCGCCCTGTCAGTCAGACCGCGCTCGTCAGCGGTTAGTGGCCTCCCTGCCAGTCAGACCACGCTCGTCAGCGGTCATCGTCAGTGGTCAGTGGCCACCCTGCCAGTCAGACCACGCTCGTCAGCGGTCAGCGGCCTCCCTGCCAGTCAGACCGCGCTCGTCAGCGGTCAGCGGCCGCCCTGCCAGTCAGACCGTGCTCGTCAGCGGTCAGTGGCCGCCCTGCCAGTCAGACCACGCTCGTCAGCGGTCATCGTCAGTGGTCAGCGGCCTCCCTGCCAGTCAGACCGCGCTCGTCAGCGGTCAGCGGCCACCCCGCCAGTCAGGCCGCGCTCGTCAGCGGTCAGCGGCCTCTTGCCAAGCACCAGCCTACCAACACTGGGTGTCAATATTCAACTGTTCTGAAATTAGGTGCTGAGATCAGAGTTATAAATGGGATGAAAAGCTTGTGGTAACCAAGCCATATGTCTCATACAATTCTGCAATCTTAGTGCAAACTTTATGTTCTGGGATCCATCATCCCTTTGATCTGGTTTGTGCCGCAGCAAACTTTTGGATGCTGACATGTGGCAGGTATATAGCCCTGAGTCGTGATGCTGTGGTGACGTGGCTTGTCTCAGCAGCAAATTTGTGACTAAATGGCCAAGACAGCAAGCTGAACAGGACCTGCCATCACATGGTGTCATCTGGCTCTTAGAAAACTTCGACAAAATTGCTCTTTGAACTGCAGTGGGTTTGAGTTTGAAACAAGCTATGTTTGGTAAACAATAGTTCTAAAGCCATCTCTACCTTACAATACATTCTGAGCAATTTATATGTCAATAATTAATGTAAACCTTATTATTTTGCCTCATGCCAAGTATCCTTATCAGTTTGTCTACCTTATCTAAAGCTTTGCAACATGGCTTACATATCATGCCCATTATACAGGAAGCAACTCTACCAGCCAAGTTCTTAGTTGCTAGTTGTATGTGAAACATCCATATTCCACTACACAATCTGCAAAGCATACACAAATCCATGTTATAGAATGCACCCTTAGTCCTGTCATCCAATGAACCCAAATTCCTCATTGCAACTGTCACAACCAGTTTCAAATACTTAAGGTGTTGCACAACTTCAAGTCTTAGGACCCCTGGCAGTTGCCTTATCCTTAAACTACAGGTGGCACATTATTTGAAGCTCTGGCTTCACAGCTATGTGCAGCTGTTTATGCAGAGTGTGGGATGTACAATGGCAAGCACTTGTATCCATACTAAAGGGAATGTTCTACATTCAGAGGCACTGAACCATGCACCATCTGTGATGAAACAGTCATTTATACTATTGGTATGCTTTTAAGGGGGAAAACTGCTGTAGGCAGTTCAATTCTCTGTTAGTAAACATGTTCCTCAATACATCATGATTTCATTGTATCATTTTACCTAGCATACCATTGATTGAGAGCCAACTAGTGGCTGTTATGTCAGGGGACTGAGCTCATGAAAACAGAATGAGCCCCCGGACAATTTTATTATTTCATTTTGCAGGATTTTGATGGCGTTATCATGACATCATGGATGCCAAAGTGTCTTTGATATGCAATTCTTGATGTCCCTTTTCTCATTTTCTTAGATGTGTAGTTCAGAGACAAGATGGGGTTATGTCTTAAGAATGGCAGGATTTGAACAGCACCAGGCTATTTCAGTTCAAAACTCACATAACTGTGGAGCACCCCCTTTAAGGAAATTGGTCTTTGTGGGTAAAGTGTGTGCTACTATCTGGTGACAGCAATAAACAATCATTTCTACCTTTTGTCACTCCCTGACCTTGAAATGCACCATCCTTGAGCATGTAAAATGCTTCAGTGAGCCATGTGGTGGTGAGTAGGGCATGATAAACATGGAAAGCACCATGGGTAAACCATTTTTAATGCATGAACCATAACTGAGCTAAGACATTATGGATATATATATATATATATATATATATATATAATGAAGTATTTACTAGTGAGATCATCAGCTGGTATATCAACACTTAACATACACCAGTGGAAAATATAACCATATACAATGACTGACTGCATCAGAATGTCTCTGCTCAAAACATTAAAGAATGTGAGTATTACTAGCATCTACCTGCTGGCTGCTATCCACAATTTTCTTTAGAATTACTGCTGCACGGGGTAAATTTCCAGTGACAAGAAAGATGTCAGAGCTGACATAGCCTGAAAGCTGAAAACTTGCTATATCTGCAAAGGAAAATATATATTGTAAGGATCTGTCAATGCATTGTTCCCTTCTTTCTTTTTGCTGTTGTTCTAATGTCAATAAAACTGGCAATTTATCTGCTGCTAAGTGTTACCTGAACCTTGCACCATGTACATGTAATCAAATGCTGACTTGCAGACCAAGTATATGTTCACCTATTGACCAGTCTGCAAACTGAGGCTGATTTGTACAAGATCCTGATGGGACAGACCTGGGTAAAGCTTTATAATCAGAACAGCTTCTCAAAACTCTGACAGACATTGTGGAACTGGACTACTGATGACATCATAATGTGTCCTTTGAAATTCAAAACTGACAGGACCACAGAAAATGACAATATCTGAGGGTGGATCTCAATTTTTTTGGAAGGGAACCTGCATCACCACCAAACGTAACCAGATAGGCACATTTATTATGCTATTTTGGGTAGGATTCTGTCCGTCCGAAATATAGCATTGGCAGGTTTGCCACAGCTTGCATACTGAGCAGTAGGACGTGTTCCCACGTCTTAAAATGCGATATACCTGAGCAGGTATTGCACTGTACACTACGGACCCAATCTAATTTCATTGATTACTTTTCACACATATTTAACACATCCCCTGTTTCTTTCTACGACATGACAAGTACTCCAATGCGCAACAAATACTCGTAACCCAAATCGGCAGCACGCACCCCCAAACACCAACCGTCACCAATCTCAATGATCAAAACAAACAAAAAAATGTAAAAGCTCCGTTCTTCATTTACAGACATGGCACAAAAGCTACCAACTTATGACGTCAAATTACCATAAAAGTATGAAATGAACATACGTTTCTTTTGATGAGGAAGACTCAGTCTACATTAAATGAATTCCAAGTATTGCTCAAAATCCAGCAGCTCTTTCCTAAAATTTCACACTAGTTCTTATTTTATTATGGGCGACTAATTGCCTGAACTTTAAAAGACCTTTAATAAAACCTCCTGGTTAAGAAATCAAAGGCTTATGTGACGCAGATGATACGTATGCAATTTTCGCCCACCATAAACAAACATCTCTGACCCACATCACACTTGCACTGGGTCCCTGCTGCTGGTTTAAACGTCTTGAATTTAGTGTTTAGAAGAGCCGTGGGATCTAGAGCTTGGTTCGTGAGAAGCGTAGGTGTGTGATTTGTCTTGTGAAGGGAATTACAGAGACGCTCTAGCCTCAGAGAAATATTCAGCTTGTGTTTCTGAAGAGCTGACCCTATTATTGACACTCCTTGCCAGTTGGTTCAGGAAGAGATGGGCTCAAAATAAAACTATAGTACAGTGGGAAGGAATTTTGACTCGATTTAGGTTATCATGATGGCCATTGTAATTCCATCTGAAGCTTAATGTACATCATTAAGTATCCAATGCATTTTCTTTGGCATGTATTACATTTATATCCATAAATATGTTGCTGCCTGGGCAAATGGATAGGCAGGTAATATACAAACAGAACAGATTGCCTATGTAAATAAAATGTGTTCCCAATAAGACATAATTGGCTTGTCTATAGGTAGGAAGTCCCCTATGTATATATGGAATAGCCCCAAGACTAACTGATAAACTCTTGTTACCAAGACTTGATTGATTTTGAGCTTTTATTACATGTTTGTTTACTGCTATGCCAAAGAAAACCTCATTGCTCTTAATTTTCTTTACAGCACAACAATGGACCCACTGAAGATTGGCATCATAATAGGTATGACTTAGCATTACAGGTGGTAGAAGGGATTTTTAACTTTGCTTGCCAGTTGATTTTCAAGTCAAGTAATATCTCCTGTGTTGGATCTGGTGCATTCTATTTTAAAGTTTGCATGCTGGTATCACAGAATTGTCAGAATACTGACATAAAAGCTGTTTGTATTTAAATCTGTATGTTCAACTTAGAGAAAAGAAGAGGGTAAGTATTATTCAAACACCCTGCACATGCTCAGGCTTCATCAAGTTCTTCCTGTAGGCCTGTGCTCCAACTGCCTTTGAGGCTGCAGTGTGTGGGGTGGGGTGGCAGATGGACATACCCCACTGATGTGTGTCCTGGGCCCCAGTGAGTGACCGGGCGGCGGCAGGCAGCTCAGCCGACCTGACTGGGCCCCGGCTCAGCGCGCTGCTCGAGGGCGGCGAACTCTTCGTGGCCAAGCTCGTCCAGCGGATGGTGGTGGCTGATGAGCGCGCCGACATACAGGTGTGACTCCAGCGACAGCAGGGGACCCTCCCGAAACACTGACCAGCGTGTTCTTAGCTGCCGGACCCGTCTGTGGAGTGAACAGAGCGAATCCAGTCCGCCGGCGAGGTCCTGCTCGGAACAGCAGCTAATGAGCACCTGGGGCGAATGGGCCTGATCTGGCTAGGAGGGTCAGCTACACGTGGTGGCCAACGAGCTCCACTGTAATGGACGGTGCGACGAAGTCGCAAGACTTCGTTGCAGCCGACGCATTTGCGTGACCTCTGGAGGCCGGCGTCTGACGCGGCCTCTCCACTGTCTGCAGGCGGCCGTGACCGGGCTCTCGGACCGCTGTGACGTGCTGCTGACCTCGGGCGGCACGGGGTTTGCGGCGCGGGACGTGACACCCGAGGCTGTGGCGCCGCTGCTGGAGCGGTCGGCGCCCGGCCTGCTGGCTGCCATGCTGCACGGCTCACTGGCCGTCACCCCCGCTGGCCATGCTGTCGCGGTAACGGCGGCGCCCGCGTTGCCCTCCCCTGGCTATGATGACGCAGTGGTATCAGTGCCTAGCTCCTGCCTGCGGTATATCAGTGCCTAGCTAGTGCCCTATCCCCGTGGTGTGGCCCCTTTTGCAGTAATAGCCACCTGCAGTCGTCGGCCGTCCTGAGTCCCTCTCATGTATTGGGGATCTGTGTAGGTGTACCTCCAGCTAAGATATTAAACTAGGACGTTAACATGTCTCCACCTCCCGACCACTGGGCACCCTCGGGTCAGCGGGGTCTGAGCCGCCGTCCTGTGGCCGGCAGGCCGGTGGCCGGGGTGCGTGGCCGGTGTGTGGTGGTCACGCTGCCGGGCAGCCCCAAAGCGGCCGAGGAGTGCGTCCGGCTGCTGGCGCCCGGCCTGCCGCACGCCGTCGACCTGCTGCGGGACCGACGGACGCGCGTGGAGCATGTGCACCTGCAGCTGCAGAGCGATACCGTGCCCCAGCGGGGCCACGCCGACCGCCGGCGGAGATGAGCACTACTGTCAGCACCAGCACCAGCACCAGCCACCAGGCCGGCTCCACGGTACGACGCCCAGCCACGAGGCTGTCGATGAGTCTTCCGCGCCCTGTTGCTTCGCGCCATGGTGCGATATGACAGGCTGCTCCTAAACAGCGGCGCCCAGAGGTGACACAGTGGAGCCGGCGGCGCCGCTCCTAAATAGCGGCGCCGTTTGATTGAGCCGCGTGTCAGCGCCCGAGTCCCCCCGGCTCGAATCTCCGAGCTTCGTGAATCGACACCTGCGATGGCGGGGTGCGGCAGTCCGGTGGCCGCGCGCCAGGAGAGGCCCGTGACCTGCCCACCCCCGTCTGCGCCGCAGGTGGACCCATCTCAGGTGTCGCGCCGGCACCGCCGCTCGCCGTACCCCCACCATCCCGCTGGCCAGGGCGCAGGAGGTCGTGATGGACGCCGTGGCTGGCTACGAGCGCTCCGTCGAGACGCTCAACATCTCGTGAGTGGCCGTCTCTCGGAGAGGGCCGCCCGGTCTGGAGACGGACAGATGCGGGCTGGTCGGGTCTGTCGAAGTGAGTTGGAGTCAGCCGGGGATGCCCTGCGTGTGTCAATGTAAGTGGAGCCGGCCTGATGACTAGGACACTGTTCGACCGTGTGCACCCACGGAGAGGCTAGAGCCGGGAGCGGGATGGGAGGTCTTTGTCATGCTTTCAACAACACACTGATCATGTTTGGCCTAACGGATGGGATGTACCAGTACACCGTATTGTCCCGTGTCCCGTCCTCGTCCAGAAACTCGTCATTCGGTCGCTACTAACGTGCGTGTACTGCGAACCCACTGGCCAGAAGTCTGTGGCGCCTTGGGGCTGGTTCATACCATCTGGTTTGTTGGCGCTTGCTCAGCCCGTGACCACCTTCGCTATCTGTTTCAGTGCCGCGCAGGACCGCGTGCTGGCAGAGGACATCGTGGCTAAGGTGCCACTGCCACCTTTCCCGGCCTCGGTGAAGGATGGCTACGCCGTCTGCTCGGCAGATGGTGTTGGCGTCAGACATGTGCTGGGTGCCTCCAACGCCGGTGTGGACGTAAGCAGAAGCAAGATGCGGAGATGGGCCCACTTCCGACGTCGAGTGTTTGCGCTGCCTGTGGCGTGCCGCGGCTCGTTCTCGCCGTCCGCGGACGTACCCGGCCCGCGCTGCGGCCGCTGACGCTCTGTGCGGTGCGCAGGGTGACGGCGCGGCGTCCACCGTGCGGCCCGGCACCTGCGTGCGCATTAGCACCGGCGCTGCCGTACCGGCCGGCGCTGACGCCGTCGTCATGGTGGAGCAGACCCGGCTGGCGGAGGCGTCCGAGGACGGCACGCGCGAGCTCACCGTGGAGATCCTGGAGGCGCCGCGCGCCGGCCAGGACATCAGGTCAGTGGGATGGCAGGGGGCAGGGGGCAGGAATCGGGTCAGAGGATGGCAGGGGTCAGATTAGAGAAGTGGTAGGAGCTAGGTTAGAGGAGCGGCAGGGATCAGGCCAGGGGATGGCAGGGACCAGCTCAGAAAAGTGGCAGGGGTCAGACCAGGCGAGTGGTAGGAGCCAGGTTAGAGGAGCGGCAGAGATCAGGTCAGAAGTGGTTGGGGGTCAGGTTAGTGGAGCAACAGGTGTCAGGTTAGAGAAGCGGCAGGGGTCAGGACAGCGGGTGAACACATCAGTATAAAGACGGCAACGGAAGGAACGTAATGTGTACGCGGCAGATTTACCACCTGCGTGTTGCTGGCCCTTCCCAGCGACGTCATGACCGAGCGGTCAGCAGGATCGGCCGCCTTGTTAGGGGTCGCTGCCTGCTGCTGCGGGCTGCGACCGGCGCCTTCCCCGCACACCCGCCTGGTGTCCTCCGGCGCGTGTCGCTGAGATGTGCTCTCCCCTTAGTTGTTATGGCGTGCCCCTGCGATGTTCCCGTGCCTCTGTCGTGACGCGCCCCGCGGTGTTCCCGTACCACTGTCGTGACGCGCCCCGCGGTGTTCCCGTGCCTCTGTCGTGACGCGACCTGTGGCGTTTCCGTGCCACTGCCGTGGCGCGCCCCTGCGGTGTTCCCGTGCCTCTGTCGTGACGTGCTCTGTGGTGTTCTCGTGCCACTGTCGTGACGCGCCCTGTGGTGTTCCCGCGCCACTGTCTTGACGCGCCCCTGCTGTGTTCCCGTACCACCGTTGTGACGCGTCTCTGCTGTGTTCCCGTATCACTGTCGTGACGCGCCCCTGCTGTGTTCTCGCACCACTGTCGTGACGTGCCTCTGCTGTGTTCCCGTACCACTGTCGTGACGCGCCCCTGCTGTGTTCCCGTACTACTGTTGTGACGTGCCCCTGCTGTGTTTACGTACCACTGTCGTGACGTGCTCCGTCTCGGTGCCGTTTCAGGCCGGTGGGGAGTGACATCGCCAAGGGCACCCTGGTGCTGGACTCCGGCCGCCGGCTCGGACCGTTCGAGCTCGCTTCGCTGGCTGCTGTCGGTGTCTGTCAGGTCACAGTGTTCAGGTGAGGGCCCGTCCCGTGCAGAGGTCAGGTCAGGGCACTGTGATATTAGGGGGGTGTGCTTTACCACTGCCACCTCAGTTGGGCTGGGAAGTATGTCCTGCCTAGTCATGTGTTGTATGTTGTCTGGATGTGTCATCACTTGCACCCAGCATGAGCTGACGGTGGCCAGAGGTGATGTCTTATCTCCTGTACCTGGCGTGAGCTGACGGTGGCCAGAGGTGATGTCTTATCTCCTGTACCTGGCGTGAGCTGACGGTGGCCAGAGGTGATGTCTTATCTCCTGTACCTGGCGTGAGCTGACGGTGGCCAGAGGTGATGTCTTATCTCCTGTACCTGGCGTGAGCTGACGGTGGCCAGAGGTGATGTCTTATCTCCTGTACCTGGCGTGAGCTGACGGTGGCCAGAGGTGATGTCTTATCTCCTGTACCTGGCGTGAGCTGACGGTGGCCAGAGGTGATGTCTTATCTCCTGTACCTGGCGTGAGCTGACGGTGGCCAGAAGTGATGTCTTATCTCCTGTACCTGGCGTGAGCTGACGGTGGCTAGAGGTGATGTCTTATCTCCTGTACCTGGCGTGAGCTGACGGTGGCCAGAGGTGATGTCTTATCTCCTGTACCTGGCGTGAGCTGACGGTGGCCAGAGGTGATGTCTTATCTCCTGTACCTGGCGTGAGCTGACGGTGGCCAGAGGTGATGTGTTATCTCCTGTACCTGGCGTGAGCTGACGGTGGCCAGAGGTGATGTGTTATGCCCTGTACCTGGCGTGAGCTGACGGTGGCCAGAGGTGATGTCTTATCTCCTGTACCTGGCGTGAGCTGACGGTGGCCAGAGGTGATGTCTTATCTCCTGTACCTGGCGTGAGCTGACGGTGGCCAGAGGTGATGTCTTATCTCCTGTACCTGGCGTGAGCTGACGGTGGCCAGAGGTGATGTGTTATCTCCTGTACCTGGCGTGAGCTGACGGTGGCCAGAGGTGATGTGTTATGCCCTGTACCTGGCGTGAGCTGACGGTGGCCAGAGGTGATGTCTTATCTCCTGTACCTGGCGTGAGCTGACGGTGGCCAGAGGTGATGTCTTATCTCCTGTACCTGGCGTGAGCTGACGGTGGCCAGAGGTGATGTCTTATCTCCTGTACCTGGCGTGAGCTGACGGTGGCCAGAGGTGATGTCTTATCTCCTGTACCTGGCGTGAGCTGACGGTGGCCAGAGGTGATGTCTTATCTCCTGTACCTGGCGTGAGCTGACGGTGGCCAGAGGTGATGTCTTATCTCCTGTACCTGGCGTGAGCTGACGGTGGCCAGAGGTGATGTCTTATCTCCTGTACCTGGCGTGAGCTGACGGTGGCCAGAGGTGATGTCTTATCTCCTGTACCTGGCGTGAGCTGACGGTGGCCAGAGGTGATGTCTTATCTCCTGTACCTGGCGTGAGCTGACGGTGGCTAGAGGTGATGTCTTATCTCCTGTACCTGGCGTGAGCTGACGGTGGCCAGAGGTGATGTCTTATCTCCTGTACCTGGCGTGAGCTGACGGTGGCCAGAGGTGATGTCTTATCTCCTGTACCTGGCGTGAGCTGACGGTGGCCAGAGGTGATGTCTTATCTCCTGTACCTGGCGTGAGCTGACGGCGACCTGGGGCTGCGCAGCCGGCCGACCGTTGCCGTCATGTCGACGGGTAACGAGGTGCAGGAGCCGGGCCGGCCTCTGGAGCCCGGCCGGATCTACGACACAAACCGGCTGTCGTTGCTGGCTGCCCTGCCGGCCACCGGTGCTTGCGTCATCGACGCCGGCATCGCCATCGACGAGTGAGTGACGTCAGACGGGCGGCGTGATCGTGACCGGAAGGGATATGAAGACCTGATATATTGTCTGATGCCGGCTCCTGGCACGGGACTATTTTCCATTTGAGATGGGCCAGCATATTGTGCGTACATATTCACATTAAGAATTTAGGCATGTGCACCACTCAATTGCACAAACTGTCTGCGACCCTAGCTTCAGTCGTCAGTGAGGCTGAACTGGCGGGTTGTGATTCATTCACCTGTTGTCCGAGGCGCTGACAGTGGCGCGTGCCCGTGCGGCCAGGCCGGAGCAGCAGCTGGCGGGCCGGTGTGTGCCTGCCCCCTGACCGTGAGCGGTGTCGGTGCGGCCTGGCGGAGCAGCAGCTGGCGGGCCGGGGTGTGCCTGTCCCCTGACCGTGAGCGGTGTCGTTGCGGCCAGGCCGGAGCGGCAGCTGGCGGGCCGGGGTGTGCCTGCCCCCTGACCGTGAGCGGTGTCGGTGCGGCCAGGCCGGAGCAGCAGCTGGCGGGCCGGGGTGTGCCTGCCCCCCTGACCGTGAGCGGTGTCGGTGCGGCCTGGCGGAGGCAGCTGCTGGCGGGCCGGGATGTGCCTGCCCCCCTGACCGTGAGCGGTTGTCGGTGCAGCCTGGCGGAGCAGCTGCTGGCGGGCCGGGATGTGCCTGCCCCCTGACCGTGAGCGGTGCCGGTGCGGCCTGGCGGAGCAGCTGCTGGCGGGCCGGGGTGTGCCTGCCCCCTGACCGTGAGCGGTGTCGGTGCGGCCAGGCCGGAGCACCTGCTGGCGGGCCGGTGTGTGCCTGCCCCCTGACCGTGAGCGGTGCCGGTGCGGCCAGGCCGGAGCAGCAGCTGGCAGCGCTCCGATCGGCGCTGCAACCGCGCCGATGTGCTCGTCACCACCGGCGGCGTCTCCATGGGCGAGCGTGATCTGGTCAAGCGTCTATTGACCGACGACCTCGGCGCCCAGGTCCACTTCGGCCGCGTCTTCATGAAGCCCGGGTCAGTGACGACCGGGGCTGGCCGACCTGGCCACCTGACTTGACCTCCGGACTTGACCTGCCCACCCAAACCAGCCTCTTGGTTTCAACTTGCCTGGTTGCCCTGCTTGGCCTGCTGAGCCTGACCTGACCTGATCCGCCGGAAGTGACTGGGGATCGGTGGCCAGTGTTACGTCAGGCTCACCCCAAGCGGTTGCAGCGGCTGAGGCTGCAGTCATATGCTGGATGATGAGATGAGCTGGCCTTAGCATGCAGTTTTGGTCGTGCTATTTTGTTTTATGGCTGTTGGGGACAGTACATCTGGTCTAGATATGGATTGCGTCGAGCTTGCCTCTTGCGTCGTCACTGGTTGTTTGTCGGTCTGCGGTGTTGATCTCACGTTTGTGTCGTCGCCGGCCTTGCGCGCGGCGCTTCGCTGCCTTTGACTCACGCAGCCAGGACCGCTGACCTAGCGTGTCAACCACGCGTGACGGATGCCCGGCATGCATGTCTCGACGGGATGCTTTTGACCTGCCACTGGCGTGACCCGGGTCCACTGAATGTGCGCGCCCGGGTATCCCGGTCGCTCGCCCTCGGGTCGACCCCTGCAGTCGTCTGACGCGGCCCTGGCCGTTCGCAGCATGCCAACGACGTTCGCCACGCTGACGCTAGATGGCAGGTGCAAGTACGTGTTCGGTCTGCCTGGCAACCCGGTGTCGGCGGCGGTGTGCAGCGTGCTGCACGTGATGCCTGCCCTGCGAGCGATGGCCGGCCTGCGCGACTTCCAGTACAGCAAGCTCCGTGTGCAGGTTCGGGGGGGTCGCAGCTCTGCACCGCGGGCCAGGTGCGGGGGGCGCAGCTCTACACCGCGGGCCAGGTGCGGGAGGGGCGCAGCTCTACATCGCGGGCCAGGTTCTGGGGGGGGGTCGCAGCTCTGCACCGCGAGCCAGGTGCGGGGGGGGGGGGCGCAGCTCTGCACCGCGGGTCAGGTGCGGGAGGGGGTCGCAGCTCTGCACCGCGGGTCAGGTGCGGGAGGGGGCGCAGCTCTGCACCGCGGGTCAGGTGCGGGGGGCGCAGCTCTACACCGCGGGCCAGGTGCGGGAGGGGCGCAGCTCTACATCGCGGGCCAGGTTCTGGGGGGGGGGGGTCGCAGCTCTGCACCGCGAGCCAGGTGCGGGGGGGGGGCGCAGCTCTGCACCGCGGGTCAGGTGCGGGAGGGGTCGCAGCTCTGCACCGCGGGTCAGGTGCGGGAGGGGGCGCAGCTCTGCACCGCGGGTCAGGTGCGGGAGGGGTCGCAGCTCTGCACCGCGGGTCAGGTGCGGGAGGGGGCGCAGCTCTGCACCGCGGGTCAGGTGCGGGGGGGTCGCAGCTCTGCACCGCGGGTCAGGTGCGGGAGGGGGCGCAGCTCTGCACCGCGAGCCAGGTGCGGGGGGGGGGGGCGCAGCTCTGCACCGCGGGTCAGGTGCGGGGGGTCGCAGCTCTGCACCGCGGGTCAGGTGCGGGAGGGGTCGCAGCTCTGCACCGCGGGCCAGGTGCGGGAGGGGTCGCAGCTCTGCACCGCGGGTCAGGTGCGGGAGGGGTCGTAGCTCTGCACCGCGGGTCAGGTGCGTGAGGGGGCGCAGCTCTGCACCGCGGGTCAGGTGCGGGAGGGGTCGCAGCTCTGCACCGCGGGCCAGATGCGGGAGGGGGCGCAGCTCTGCACCGCGGGTCAGGTGCGGGAGGGGGCGTAGCTCTGCACCGCGGGTCAGGTGCGGGGGGTCGCAGCTCTGCACCGCGGGTCAGGTGCGGGAGGGGTCGCAGCTCTGCACCGCGGGTCAGGTGCGGGAGGGGGCGCAGCTCTGCACCGCGGGTCAGGTGCGGGAGGGGCCGCAGCTCTGCACTGCGGGCCAGGTGCGGGAGGGGGGCGCGGCTCTGCACCGCGGGCCAGGTGCGGGAGGGGGCGCAGCTCTGCACCGCGGGTCAGGTGCGGGGGGGGGGCGCAGCTCTGCACCGCGGGTCAGGTGCGGGAGGGGGCGCAGCTCTGCACCGCGGGTCAGGTGCGGGAGGGGCCGCAGCTCTGCACCGCGGGCCAGGTGCGGGAGGGGGCGCAGCTCTGCACCGCGGGTCAGGGTGGCCGGCGCCCCCTGTGGACGCCCGGTGCGCTCGCGGGAGAGGGAGCAGAGGTTCTGACCGTTGACGGGCTTCGTCCCAGATCTTTAAAGGTCTGTGCGCCGTAGCGTCACGGCAGTCTTTCATACGCCATGACTGAAACGGTGTGTGTTTTGGCGTCTGCACCTCGAACAGTCGGTATTTCGGTTTCGGCTTCTGCGTTAGTCTGTCCTCTGGCCTTGGTACCTGTATAAGTCCGTGTGGCGATGCCCGTGTCCATACACGGTCATCTGTGTGCCTGCATCCGTCTGTTCTGTGTGTGTTGGTGACAACCTGAAGTGTCCGCAATCGTTTGTATTCCGTTGCTAGTGTACCCAACAGTCTATATTGTGTTATATCGGGCAGTCTCTGTCCCGTCCCCTGCAGCTGGAGTCGGAGATTGGTCTGGACCCGCGGTCCCAGTTTGTGCCGTGTTTTGGTGCTGATGTCCGTGACAGTCTGTGTCCCGTCCCCCGCAGCTGGAGTCGGAGGTTCGTCTGGACCCCCGCCCTGAGTTCGCGCGCGCCACTCTGACGCACTCCCAGACCGGCCGACTGCCGGTAGCGCGCGTTACAGGTCAGCCGCTTCCGCCCAAGCGTTGTCCTCGACGCTCGACCCCTACTCAGAGGGGCGGCTTGGTGTGCTGACGTGGTGAGCTGCACGCGCGGAGGCAGACTCTCATGTCAACAGGAACGATGCGTTGTAATCACCGCTTGGCATGACAGCCATTTTTCTTAATTGATTTTGGTACTATTTTTTATTGACTTTGTTATTAACCCTCACAACGGCAAGTGCTTAAACTTAGAGAACTTCTCGTCAAATGACGCCATGCGGTCGTGGCAGTGCGCTGTGCGCGATCACTGATATTGGTGTAGCGGTTATCCTTGCTGCTCAATTATCGTTTTCTTGTTTTCACTTTGTTTTATTGATATTTTATCACAATGATCGTTTTCTCGTGTTCACACAAAACTCGTTTTCAGTTTGGACGCATGATATGTATGGCTCCTGGCATGTTCGCCCGTCTCGGCTCGCCACTGTTGTAGGCCTCCGCATAGCGCCGGCCGTCAGTGACAAGTCCCGCTGTATCGCACTGCGAGTCCCCACTGGGCCGCAGGCCTAAAGCGAAGCATGACTCGGTAGGCTTGTCTGCTCGTGGGATTGTTTAGTATGCCTTCACATCGTCTGATCTGTGTGCTGAGTCGGAGCCCTCGCAGGCAGTGAGTGATGCGCCGGGTCTCGGTGGACTGAGCTGGGCGCTGCGTTTCCAGGCAGTCAGATGAGCAGTAACGTTCTGAGTCTGTGTCGGGCTGTGGCGCTGCTGGAATTGCCGGCCCGGACTGACCAGCGCGCCTCCCTGCCCGCTGGCGCCGAGGTCGACGCCATCGTTGTCTTCGGGCAGCTATGTACGTATCGCGTGCTATCCTTCGGTTCGCCGAAGCGAACCACCGCCGATTGCCATGGGCTGGGGTAACGTTGGTTGGAGAGTTGACCTTGATTTGTCGGCGGTGGCGGTGGGTCGCCCAGCCTGCGTACAGCCAAAGGCCTCGCGTTAAAGTGCTTAAAGATGCTGTAAGCAGAATGGCATGGAACGTAGCGAGTAGGTGCGGCTCTGGCTGACTTGTGCTTGCTCCTGGTGCAGTCGGTGTCGGTTCGGAAAACGAGAGCGTCAGCTCCGGCCGCGTGGTGACCTTGGGATGGTCTGACACCGCCCGGTGCTGCTCACAGGAGTGTCAGCTCCGGCCGTGTGGTGACCCTGGGAGGGCCTGACACCGCCCGGTGCTGCCTACAGGAGTGTCAGCCCCGGCCGTGTAGTGACCCTGGGAGGGCCTGACACCGCCCGGTGCTGCCTGCAGGAGTGTCAGCTCCGGCTGTGTGGTGACCGTGGGAGGGCCTGACACCGCCCGGTGCTGCCTACAGGAGCGTCAGCTCCGGCCGTGTGGTGGCCGTGGGAGGGCCTGACACCGCCCGGTGCTGCCCACAGGAGTGTCAGCTCCGGCCGCGTGGTGACCCTGGAAAGGCCTGACACCGCCCGGTGCTGCCCACAGGAGTGTCAGCTCCGGCCAGGCGCTGCCGGTCATCTAGGACGAAGAACGCGCGGCTGACAGGTCTCCTGCGCTGCGCCGATCGGACGGTGGGTCGAAATGGGCGTGGCGGGAAGGACCCGATGTTCTGAAGCTGCTGGGCCGGACGCGGTCCACGGATGCCAGCCCATGTATGATGTACTTGATACGTGATCGATTTTATACAGGAATTAGTTACCTGGCTAGACTGACGCATGACGCTATGCGCGGCCGAAATTTGGTACCGCGGATATGTAATCACCTCATGGTGTGCCTGTATGAAGTGGCGGGTATCTGCATATTGGCAGCTGGGTATGCGGCTGTGGGCGGACCTGCAGACATTTAGAGAATCGCATGATAATGTGTTCGGCCAGGGTACCTCGAACTTGGAACTTGGTAATGGGTCAAATGTCTTTGGGGGTTATATCTGTGTTTCGTATTAGTACACGAAATTAGATACGATGATATGAATAGTATGCTATGGAACACCTTATTATGCTGAATAGATATTGGATCGACAGAGCATGAATGCATGACTGGGAGGTCTAAAATAATGACCTTTTTGCATAGCTTCGAAAGCCTACATAACTTCGCCCAAAAAAATGCCACCCCTTTTATTAATTTCGAGTGGCTTGCATGGGTAACGTTCGGTTCTGAGCACCAACTAAGGAAAGTCTCACGCGTGTGCCCTGAATCGTTCATTGAAGTGGTCCCGCATGATTCAACGGATCATATCGCTTTGGCCGTTTCACCGCACAGGACCACGGATGTTGCAACATGCCGCACGCCGCTGTGGCACGACCGGCCTGGACCTGGCTTGACCCTCGTTTGTCGGTTGTCTAGTGGCCTTTCTCATATCAGCCGGGTCAGACAATGCGCCCGCTGTGGAACCTGTACTCACTCACCGTGCAGTCGGTTCAGCATCTTTCCCCAAACCACGAAGGCAGCATCATGCGGGGGGGGGGGTTGAAAGTGACGGGCGTCCCGTCGAAGCGGCCGCCTCCAACACCAAAGAACCTGTCGTTCGTGCGTGGCGTTTGGCTGCTGTCAACACTGCGACCGACCCGCCATGCCGATGAACGCGTCGGCGTCACACCGCGACCAACGGCGGCCCGCGGCGGGGGGCCGGCCGCCGCCGGCGCGGCAGCAGCAGACCACCGCAATAGAGTCGCCAACGCGGCGTGGCCGACCGGGCACAGCGAGCTACAGAGGGGCAGGACGCTGGCGCTCCGCCCCGGTGTGGTGGCCAGCAGCCTGCAGGGCAGTAGGGAGACGCGCATGAGCCAGACGCCCGTGTAGTACGACCCTTAAACCGCACCGCGCCCTTAAATCCCGGCCAGGACAGACCGGAGCGGAAGGCGCAACTGAGGCTAGCAGGCTCGTGCGGTGTACGCTCCGACGCCGCGGACCTCCTCGCCATAACGCCACGGACTTCACCGCCACGCCGCCGCGCACCACACCGCCACGTCGCCGCGGAACTCACCACCACGCCGCCGCGGACCACACCGCCACGCCGCCGCGGACCACACTGCCACGCCGCCGCGCACCACGCCGCCACGTCGCCGCGGAACTCACCACCACGTCGCCGCGGAACTCACCGCCGCGCCGCCGCGGACCACACCGCCACGCCGCCGCGGAACTCACCCGCTACAACGTGGCGCACCTCACCACCACGACATCACGCACCTCACCGTCACAACGCCGCGCACCTCACCGCCACGACACGGCGAGACTCACCGCCACGCCGCCGCGCACCTCACCGCACGACGCCGCGGCCGAGTCTAGCGCCAGCGTCCGGGCAGACCGGCTTTAGCCAATTAGCAGACCAAATTCTGCGCAGACCGCATTATCCGTAGGTCAGGTCGTCCCAGAGCGGACCGGGTGTATTCCAGCGCGAGACATCCATGCCCCGCAGGTCAATTGTCTAGTAATTGAGACCGACCCTAGCCGAGAGTTGGGGTCGTAAGCGGCTCTCCCAGAGCTACCCGGTCACCAGGCATACCAGAATCATGTAGAGCATAAACAGGAAGCCGGGCCGTTGCGCGTGCAAGACGGCCGACGCGAGAGCATGCTGAGTGCGCCGCGGCGTCATTACAGTCCGCCCTTCCGTCGGGGCACGGCCCAGTGCATCTAGTACTGCACCGTCTGGCTCCAGATGCGCCTCGTCACCTGCCTGCCAGGAGGTGCGCACAGATGGTGCGCACCGCCTCGAAGTCGTAGGGCGGCCGGCGCAGTCAGCAGGCGCAGCTTCTGCGGCGCTGACAGCGTCTGGTGGTCTGTGGGCCCGGCGATCGGCCGCGCGCCGACACCAGAGCTCCCACAAGGCTGGCGGCGGCGGGAGGAAGGCGTCTGATGGTCAACGGGCCCGGAGATCGGCCGCGCGTCGGCACCAGAGCCCCCACTAGGCTGGCGGCGGCGGGAGGAAGGCGTCTGATGGTCCGCGGGCCCGGAGATCGGCCGCGCGTCGACACCAGAGTTCCCACTAGGCTGGCGGCGGGAGGAGGAAGGGAGGAAGGCCTTCGGAGCAGCTGCAGCGCCAGCCGGGCGTCCGCAGACGTGCCCACCGCGCGCAGGCGGTGTGCTGCGTACGCCGCCGCGATACGGCCGGTGCGACACACACAAGCAGCCGGCCGGCAGGCAGCTAAATGTGTAGTGAAGAAGGTCCTGGGCGGACGGCGCCACCTCCCTCTGTGACAGCCAGCCGCGCGCAGCCTCGCCATTCCCTGGCGCTCCGGGTCTGTGGAGCCGGCGGCGCCCGCACCCGGCCCTGACTACTGGGGCTTGCCTCTGGGTCCGGCCGGCTGGGGTGAGCGGCAGGACCGGCCCGGGTCGGCATCCCAACCGGCCGGCCGGAGCAGGCCGTCGTCAGGCTCCGGACGGCGAGCAGCGCCTGCTTGCAGCGCAGCGCAGTCGCCAGCCGCCAGCCGCCATGCACCTCTAGACGCACGGGCCAGCCTCAGGCACACGCCCTTCTGCGGCGGCGTGAACAGCGGCGACAGTCTGTCAATGGTCACATCCAGCGCGTGCACCAGCAGTGGGCGGCCCAAGGTCACCATGGCTCTCACGATCCCCCCCCCCCCCCTCCTCCTACCACCTGGAGCACGGCTTCAGACGGGTCAGCGAGCGCTGCCGCCCCCCCCCCCCCCCCCCCCCCCACGACAACGGCGTTGCTGTGCTCACACGCCCGGCACCCATGCCAAAGCTGAACGCCCATAGCTAGAAGGGATTGGTCCGACAAAACAGACTTTGCGTTACCTTTTTCAGAACAAGTCGAAAATTTTAATCCTCAAATCCTGAATCTTTCAGACCTAAAAGAGGTTGTTTACTTATATTACGTAAAAGCCCACATATTACTGAATATTGCTCTTGCGCTTTGTCTTCGCCCACAGTGATGGGGACCGAAGTACCGTCACAACGCAAGCACCGCTATCGAATTTTGTGCTGCCACGGGATCCATGTCACTGAGATCTGGGTTCATCATTGATGGCTTGCGCTGCAATTTAAGATCAGCTGCAGAATTCGGAGTTCCCACCATACGAGTTCGCGTGCACCAGAGATCATGCGGGATGAAGTTATATCATGTAACCAAAGTGCTTTGCTAGGGCCTTCTGTGATAAACAGGTTGGTGTGACTTACTCGTTTCCAAGACAAAGACCGTTGTGTAATGTAGAGCATGTGACAAGCATGTGACAATGAGTGTAAGAGCATGTGACATTAGATGTGATGAGGTGATCCGACCATAATCCTACATGACCCTGACCCTGATTGATTCTCGGCCTTAGGGATACCGGTAGTGCGGTGGTTAAGCAAGGCGTCTGGGAACCCAGAGGTACGGGTTCGATTTCTCGTGGTGCTGCACTGTGCCCGCCTTTCTTACCAGAGCGAGAGGCAGGTGACTCCATGTAGTCTCAGCAACCGCGTGCGGCGTAAAGTCCCAATGTCAATGATTCGCCTTGACTAGCACCACGGTGTGTCTTTGAGGCGCCGGACAATGTTTTTGACATTTGTGCCGGCTCGGAGGCTGAATAGGCCTCTACGACAAACGCGAAAACGCCCTGCAGTCATTTCAAAACTGTCTTGCTGAGTTTTGAGGCGACTGGTAACGTGTCCGGCGTCAACTCCACGTCCCAGGTCTCTCTGCGGCAGGCCTCTCCCGACCCCGCGGTTGCATCATAAGGTACCCGGGGTACAACTTGTAATCCCCCCTCACACACGCAGGTACGGGCCACTGCGGGTAGCGGAAGACCCATCTGGTGGTGCCGGCTAAACTGTCAAGATCTGACCGAAATGGGTCAGTACGCAGCGGTTTGCTGGTGAGTTAACGCAAAAATAAACCAGCAAAAAGCTATGTTTATGGTCGCATACGCGAATTACCCGCAGTCAACCGCAGTAACCCTCCACACACGTGTCTAGGAACTGTTTTTTAAGACACGTCGCGCGTGCAAAAAAAAAGACCATCTGTAACATCTGATGAAGGGCAATTTGCAAACCTCCATGGATGTTCAAGGCATATTGGTTTATCTAGTCACATGCCACAGTTTCTGAATGAAGTGCCGCTGGTGCATACACGAAGGTTTCAAGGTCATCTCGTACAGGTGGCAAGTACCTGGTGATACCAGGCCCGGAAGAATGGTACAATATGTAAGCACGACGGCAACCTATTTTACAGCAAATGTTTCTGGTGTGCAGCCATATTTCATTTAACAACCCGGCATCCCGTCTCTTCTCGGAGCCGTGCAACAGGACATGCAGGACAGACATTCCGGAAGCTTGACTTAAAATACCGCCTCGCGCTCAGCTGAACTGTGAATCCCAGGCTGCTGCTGGAACAGGGCTGCGGGCAGGCCCAGGGGCACAGCGAGGCCAGAGCTGCGGCACTCAGCGCCTGCGCAGCCTGCGGCTGGTCCCGCGGTGGGCGGCTGCTGGCAAGGCAGACCAGCGCCGCCGTGGTCAGACCCAGCACCGCTGCTGCGCCCTGGCTCAGTCCGGCCGGCGGCCAGCAGCGGCCCCCCGGCTCAGCGCCTCGAGCGGCGGCGGTAGCGCTAGCACGACCCGACGGGTCCGACCACTCTGAGCCCGGCCCGCCGCCGGCTCCCGCGGCCCAGATAGGGACCGGGTCGCCCACTCCGTCAGCAGCCGCACCACCTACCTTACGTGCCGGCTGGCGCAGCACAACGGCTTTGACAGCGTCGCCAGATAACCGCGCTCCATTTGCACGTGTATTTCGTCCGATGCGCACTGCCGTCGTGCCAACAATACCTACATACAAAAGACGTGTAACAGAGTGGTGCGCACTAACTGGCGGCGCACAGTTCACATAGTGGGGCGGCCGAGCCGGGTCAGGGGGCCCGGCGGGGCCCGGCCGGCGCACGGTCACAGCCGGAGGACGTCACCGCCAGGCGGTCCGTGTCGGCCGATGGCGACGACCTCAGTAGTCGATGGCGGCCATCGGCGCGTCCTCGGGCTCGGGCTCGGGTCGCGAGCGCGAGCGGGACCGCTTGGGCCGCGACCGCGGCCGGTTGCGTTCGCGTGGGTGCGGCGGCGCGCTGCGTGGCGGGTTGAGCGGCGGCGGCGGCACCGCCTCACGCACGCTGACCGGGTCGATCGAGTCCACCTCCGGCGGTGACATCTGGCGGAGACGACGGGAACGTCAAGTGTCGGACGTCCGACACACTAACACGCCAACGTGTTCGGACTTCCTTCCGACATGAGACCGGCTTCACAGGCCGCTGGCCACGGAAGAGCGTTACACATGTGGCTGACCGGAGCCCGCCAGCCGCCGCGTGACGCTCGGCCTGCCGGGCGGCGCCCACTCACCGGCTCGTCGGCCAGCTCGCGCGGCCGGTCTCCGTTCAGCACGCGCATCACGTCCGTCGGAATGTGGCCGCGCTGCGCCTCGCTGAAGCTGGCCACGTAGTCGAGCAGGTTGCTGCGCAGCTCGGGCGCCGTGGCGAACACGTCGCGCAGCGGCTCCGGCGGCAACTGCAGCAGCACCTGGTAGCTGCTGGGCTTGGTGCGCTGGCAACACTTGATGAAGCCTTCCCATACCTTCTTCTGGGTCCACACCTGGCAAGCGTAACGGGTTAGCACGGATGGCGAGCCGCGTGAGCACGAGCTCGGGCTAAGACAAGGCCTTTATCAGGAAGGAGTTTCCAGACTGTGCCCTGACCAACGCTTCCCACGTCATAGACACCACCACTACAGCCATGTCAACGCCTGGTAAGGGTCGAACTAAACCAAATGTTACGAAAACGATGAAATAGGAAGCCGGGAAGCGCCTAAGTCAGCTGAGCGCAAGTACAAGCCTGACACAACGCACGCCGGCAGTTGCGGACGTTGGGGGGGGGGGGACAGGCTACCGTCTTAACGCTTGGGAGGGGGGAGGGAACAGGATGACATCTCCGCACCTGTTTGCTGGTTAGCCGCTGCAGGATGTTCATGACGAGGCCGATGAGTCGGTTATAGAGCGCCAGTGACTGGATGACAGTGCGCATCAGCAGCACCGGCAGCGGCGACTGCTCCATCAGCTGCTGCAGCACCACGGCCAGCACCTCCTGCGTGTACACCTGCTTCTCGGCGAAGCACAGCGAGGTGGCTGCCGGGAACGGGACGGGCCGGTCAGCCGCGCCGGAAGAGGGCGCCACACAGGCACCGGCCGTCGTCGCTGCGGGGCGAAGTCCACCCGGTACGGCGCCACTCTCATCCGCGCTGCGTTGAGCTCCGGCTAGCACGCATCACTCACCGAACACCGGAGTCCGCAGTGGCGGCCGGTCCGCCGGCTCCCGGACACACACAGCGCCCCCCCCCCCCCCCCCCCCCCCCCCCCGTCATGTCCGGGTCACAGCCTAACAGCATATCCAGCTGGTGTACGAAAAGCCAGGCAGGGTTTAACAGTCAACGTGCCAAGGCCCCAGAGCATGACGTGGAACCGTTAATGACTGATCTCAGCAGTCATCTCGATACTCGCGACAGCCGACCGTCATACTGACACTCCACCCGGCCGGCGGCTGACGGCCGTGGCGGCAGGAGGTCGGCGCTCGTGCCGCCGTCGGCCCGGGCGCGACCCGCGGCGCCGTACCGACACTCCACCCGGCCGGCGGCTGACGGCCGTGGCGGCGGGAGTCGGCGCTCGTGCCGCCGTCGGCCCGGGCGCGACCCGCGGCGCCGTACCGACACTCCACCCGGCCGGCGGCTGACGGCCGTGGCGGCGGGAGTCGGCGCTCGTGCCGCCGTCGGCCCGGGCGCGACCCGTGACGACACTCCACTCGGCCGGCGGCTGACGGCCGTGGCGGCGGGAGTCGGCGCTCGTGCCGCCGTCGGCCCGGGCGCGACCCGTGGCGCCGTACTGACACTACACTCGGCCGGCGGCTGACGGCCGTGGCGGCAGGAGATCGGCGCTCGTGCCGCCGTCGGCCCGGGCGCGACCCGTGGCGCCGCGTCCACTCGACACCTGCTCACCTTTGATGATGGTCTTCATGTCGCACTTGGTCGGGTCGATGTTGTGCAGCGCCACCAGCAGCTCGACGGGCGTGAGTGGCGAGCTGAAGTTGGCCGTGTCCGAGTGGATGCCCAGCAGCCGGTTAAACACCTGTCCGAACCACAGACGCACAGCTCAGTCAACACTCCCTCGGAAGCCCAAGTTACAAAACCCCGCAACACGTCGCGCCTGGTTGCATAATCTCTCGGCGGTCGCCGTAACACCGCACACAGTTCAGCTTGGACACATCGCCGGTCGCCGTGTTCAGCAGCGGACAGTCACCCCGCAGATTAAGCGCCTGTTTGATGCACCCAGCAGTCGCCGGCAGGACAGAGTCTCACACGCGTCTGCTGCAGATACTTTGGCCGGGACCACCACCTAGACGGACGACTGGCCGCCTCCGCCTGAGCCTTTCTGTGCTATTCATGCGACCAGCGTGTCCCGAACACCCCCCCCCCCCGAGCTCCCCCCCCCTACACGATACCCGCGCCGGCCCGGCCTGCGCCCCACGTCCGACCCACCTCCTTCACCACCACCGGGTTGAGCCGGATCAGCTTGGGCAGCGCGGCGATCACTTCCCGCTTGCGCAGTCCGTTCAGCACCGGAATGAGGAAGCGCACGTCCGAGACCCGCTTCTGGTACAGGTCACGCACCCGGTCCACCAGCTCGGCCGACGGCGGCGCTGCGGGCACGGCCGGCGGCACGTCACGCGCGGCCGCGCCGCTGGAGGCGGCCCAGGTCACACGGGGACCACACCACCGGAGGCGGCAAGGGAGGTCACACGGGGGACCACACCACTGGAGACGGCCAGGGAGGTCACAGGGGGACCACACCACTGGAGACGGCCGGGGAGGTCACACGGGGGACCACACCACTGGAGACGGCAAGGGAGGTCACACGGGGGACCACACCACTGGAGACGGCCAGGGAGGTCACACGGGGGACCACACCACTGGAGACGGCCAGGGAGGTCACACGGGGACCACACCACCGGAGACGGCCAGGGAGGTCACACGGGGGACCACACCACTGGAGGCGGCCAGGGAGGTCACACGGGGGACCACACCACCGGAGGCGGCAAGGGAGGTCACACGGGGGACCACACCACTGGAGACGGCCAGGGAGGTCACACGGGGACCACACCACCGGAGGCGGCAAGGGAGGTCACACGGGGGACCACACCACCGGAGGCGGCCAGGGAGGTCACACGGGGACCACACCACCGGAGGCGGCAAGGGAGGTCACACGGGGGACCACACCACCGGAGGCGGCCAGGGAGGTCACACGGGGACCACACCACTGGAGACGGCCAGGGAGGTCACGCGGGGACCACACCACCGGAGACGGCCAGGGAGGTCACACGGGGGACCACACCACCGGAGGCGGCCAGGGAGGTCACAGGGGGACCACACCACCGGAGGCGGCCAGGGAGGGTCACACGGGGGACCACACCACTGGAGACGGCCAGGGAGGTCACAGGGGGACCACACCACTGGAGACGGCCAGGGAGGTCACACGGGGGACCACACCACTGGAGACGGCCAGGGAGGTCACAGGGGGACCACACCACTGGAGACGGCCAGGGAGGTCACGCGGGGGGACCACACCACCGGAGGCGGCAAGGGAGGTCACACGGGGGACCACACCACTGGAGACGGCCAGGGAGGTCACACGGGGGACCACACCACTGGAGACGGCCAGGGAGGTCACACGGGGGACCACACCACTGGAGACGGCCAGGGAGGTCACACGGGGGACCACACCACTGGAGACGGCCAGGGAGGTCACACGGGGACCACACCACCGGAGGCGGCCAGGGAGGTCACACGGGGGACCACACCACTGGAGACGGCCAGGGAGGTCACACAGGGGACCACACCACTGGAGACGGCCAGGGAGGTCACACGGGGACCACACCACCGGAGGCGGCAAGAGAGGTCACACGGGGGACCACACCACTGGAGGCGGCCAGGGAGGTCACACGGGGGACCACACCACTGGAGACGGCCCAGGTCACACGGGGACCACACCACCGGAGGCGGCAAGGGAGGTCACACGGGGGACCACACCACTGGAGACGGCCAGGGAGGTCACACGGGGGACCACACCACTGGAGACGGCCAGGGAGGTCACACGGGGGACCACACCACTGGAGACGGCCAGGGAGGTCACGCGGGGGACCACACCACTGAGACGGCCAGGGAGGTCACACGGGGGACCACACCACTGGAGACGGCCAGGGAGGTCACACGGGGGACCACACCACTGGAGACGGCCAGGGAGGTCACAGGGGGACCACACCACTGGAGACGGCCAGGGAGGTCACGCGGGGGACCACACCACTGGAGACGGCCAGGGAGGTCACACGGGGACCACACCACCGGAGGCGGCCAGGGACGTCACACGGGGGACCACACCACTGGAGACGGCCAGGGAGGTCACACGGGGGACCACACCACCGGAGGCGGCAAGGGAGGTCACACGGGGGACCACACCACCGGAGGCGGCCAGGGAGGTCACACGGGGACCACACCACCGGAGGCGGCCAGGGAGGTCACACGGGGGACCACACCACTGGAGACGGCCAGGGAGGTCACACGGGGGACCACACCGCTGGGGACGGCAAGGGAGGTCACACGGGGGACCACACCACTGGAGACGGCCAGGGAGGTCACGCGGGGGACCACACCACTGGAGACGGCCAGGGAGGTCACAGGGGGACCACACCACTGGAGACGGCCAGGGAGGTCACACGGGGGACCACACCACCGGAGACGGCCAGGGAGGTCACACGGGGGACCACACCACTGGAGACGGCCAGGGAGGTCACACGGGGGACCACACCACTGGAGACGGCCAGGGAGGTCACAGGGGGACCACACCACTGGAGACGGCCAGGGAGGTCACACGGGGGACCACACCACCGGAGGCGGCCAGGGAGGTCACATGGGGGACCACACCACTGGAGACGGCCAGGGAGGTCACAGGGGGACCACACCACTGGAGACGGCCAGGGAGGTCACACGGGGGACCACACCACTGGAGACGGCCAGGGAGGTCACACGGGGGACCACACCACCGGAGGCGGCCAGGGAGGTCACACGGGGGACCACACCACTGGAGACGGCCAGGGAGGTCACACGGGGGACCACACCACCGGAGGCGGCCAGGGAGGTCACACGGGGGACCACACCACTGGAGACGGCCAGGGAGGTCACACGGGGGGACCACACCACTGGAGACGGCCAGGGAGGTCACACGGGGACCACACCACTGGAGACCGGCCAGGGAGGTCACACGGGGGACCACAACCACTGGAGACGGCCAGGGAGGTCACACGGGGACCACACCGCTGGAGGACGGCCAGGGAGGTCACACGGGGGACCACACCACTGGAGACGGCCAGGGAGGTCACACGGGGGGACCACACCACCGGAGACGGCCGGGAGGTCACACACGGGGGACCCACACCGCTGGAGACGGCCAGGGAGGTCACACGGGGGACCACACCACCGGAGACGGCCGGGCGAGGTCACACGGGGGACCACACCACTGGAGACGGCGGGGAGGGTCACACGGGGACCACACCACTGGAGACGGCCAGGGAGGTCACACGGGGGACCACACCACTGGAGACGGCCAGGGAGGTCACACGGGGGACCACACCACTGGAGACGGCCAGGGAGGGTCACACGGGGGACCACACCACTGGAGACGGCCAGGGAGGTCACACGGGGGACCACACCACTGGAGACGGCCAGGGAGGTCACACGGGGACCACACCGCTGACCACGAGACCACCACGAGACGGCGCCGCTGGCGTACACCCCGTCACACTATGCCCCATCCACCAGCTTTCGATGCCGCTGAGCAGCGGCGCCGAAAGCCAGGGGCTATTGAACGCCAGCGATTGCAGGCTACAGCCTGACAGTCACCAGACCCGACCATCCATCACCGGCCACACCCGGCACACCCGCGACCGCCCCGGCGTCCGGGCGACGCACGGAGTCGGCCCACGTACTTTTGTCGGTGAGTATGTGGATGACGCGCGTGATGAGCGTCTCGGCACCCTTGGGGCACGTCTCCACCAGCGTCAGCAGTTCCGGCGACTCCATGCCCATGCCGCGGATGGGCGCCTCCAGCACCCGCAGGATGGTGCGCTTGACATCCGCCGTCGTCTGCACATACACGTGCGCCAGCCTGCGGCAGGCCCGGCACGTCCGCTCAGTCCACAGGCCGGCCGCAGCAGGCACCACCGCAGGCGTCTCATCAGGAGTGAGATCAGTTGTCGCGTCCACCACAAACCGGAGGCACCCCTCGCACCGTTGTTTACAGCTGGCTTTACAGTACTTGCAGCCACACTCTTAACATACGTGTACCGACGACAGCATGGCCTGCCCAGGAGCGTGTGCAGTGACACCTGAAAGCCACGTTGCAGGCCGTTCCTGGCGCCTGCCCCGCTGGCGTGTACCGCAAGCTCGGCTTACTGCCAGGCCAGAGGAGCACGCATGCCACCCACTCGTGTATGAGGCTCTCGCGGCGCGGCAGCAGCGCCAGGTACAGGTGCAGACACAGCTTGGCCAGCTCGTCAGTCCACTCCAGCGTGACACCGGCCGGCGCGGCGCTGCGGGCGGGAGGAGACGCCATCAGGGGCTGCACCTACGCCGGGAGCGAGGCTCGCACCTCACCGACGAGGAGGGACGCTCGCACCACACCGACGAACCGACGGGGAGGGACGCCCACGTGACACCGATGGGGACGGACGTTTCTCATACCTCACCGACGGGGAGGGACGCCCACGTGACACCGATGGGGACGGACGTTTCTCATACCTCACCGACGGGGAGGGACGCTCGCATGCCACCGCTGAGGTGATTGCAAAGGTAGTGCCGATATCGACTGGTAAATTTGTGAAGCTATCGGCCTGCGGTGCAGCACCAGAGCCAAAACAGCCACGTAAAGACCACAATACAATGCACATGCAGCATATAACATACCAGACTAAGCAATATGCAGGCAAATTGGACGTGGTTGCGTGGTCGCCAATACGCTAGTGCAAAACCACGCCCACTCCGGATGATGGTTAGGGTTTTCGCCACCGCCACAGTTCACCGTACATCCCGGCCTTCGCTGGCTGCGCGGGCCGGCTCGGTGCTGACCAGACCCGGGGAGGGGCAGAGGACCCGGTCCAGTGGCGCGGCTCACCTCTGGTCGTCGCCCAGCAGCAGGGCCGGCGGCGTCCTCAAGCGCAGGTATTTGAGCCGGGTCGACTGCGTGCTCCTCCACCAGGCGGCCAGCGCACCGTTCATCCCGTGCAGCTCTAGCACCGTGGCCAGCGCCCGCCTCCCGCACCTGCGGCACCACACGTCACCGCTGGGGAGGCCGCGCCCGAGGCCAACACACGTGCTGGGGGAAAACGTGCCCGAGGTCGCCGTCCAACGCCGGGGGAGAGCGCGCCCGGGGTCATCCACACAGCGCGGGGCAGACAGCGCCCGAGGCCAACACACAGCGCTGGGGAAGAATCGTGCCCGGAGGTCACCACACAGCGCTGGGGGAGACCGCGCCCGAGGCAACGCACAAGCGCTGTTGGGGAGAACGTGCCCCGTAGGTCACCACACAGCGCTGGGGGAGACCGTGCCCGAGGCCAAACGCACAGCGCTGGGGGAGAAACGTGACCCGAGGTCACCACACAGCGCTGGGGGAGACCCGTGCCCGAGGGGGCCAACGCACAGCGCTGTGGGAGACCGTGCCCGAGGCCACGCACAGCGCTGTGGGAAGACCGCGCCAGGAACCACCACAGCGCTGGAGGAGACCCAGCTCTAGTCCACCACACGTCTCGGGCTCGACCCAAGCCCATGCCCTCCTCTGGCCGCCTCTCATTTGGGTCGGCGAAGCTGGACGCACGGATCGGACGATCCTGACACACAAATAAATCTGGTGCGCGACACCATTTGCACGCATACGTCCCGATATCACGTCAAGTTCTTTCCAAGGTTTGTTGCACGCCAAAAGGATGCGGTGAAAAGGGCACAACACAACGATGTCAGATTATTATGTGTCTCTCTTCCTTGCTTTCAATCTCATCCCGAATTCCAAACACGAAAAATCAGGGAGCAGCAGAACCGGGCCTGCCGCCGCCACCCATGTGCGTGTGAACGATGCCGGGCGCGCGCGCGCCAGCGGACGGACCTCGGAGGCGTTGTGGCTGGCCAGCTGGAGCAGCGCGCTGATGTAGGTCAGCTGTTTGCTGGGCCGGCGCGAGATCAGCTGACTGAGCAGCTGGATGCCCTGCCGGTGGGTGGCCGACTCGGCGCTGAAAACCCTTTCAGGATGTCCACGGCCGAGGCCGGCACGAGCGGCGCCTCCAGGAACAGCCGCGTCAGCAGGCTGTCGGCCGTCACGAGCGCACCGGTCACCGGTCACGAGCGCCACCGGTCACCGGTCACCGCCACAGACCGAGCACGCGCGCCTACTGGACTGCCCGACCAGCCGCGTGACCGGCCTGACATGGCGCCGCCAGCGAACAGCCACGTCAGCAGGCTGTCGGCCGTCACGAGCGCACCGGTCACCGGTCACGAGCGCACCGGTCACCGGTCACCGCCACAGACCGAGCACGCGCGCCCACTGGACCGCCCCGACCAGCCGCGTGACCGGCCTGCCATGGCGCCGTCAGTGAACATACGCGCTGGTCGGCGGCCGGGCCCGCGCGGACGCATGTCTGCTGGGCCTTCCGTGACATGTACTGATCGGGGAATACGCGCGGCAGCCACGGCAACGCGCGCTACTGTCACAACCAAACATGTCGGGCACAGCCATAGAGCCATCATCCGCCGGTGACTTAATGTCATCCACATGCAAGTGTTACCCTACCGATACCTGCAGTCTCACATCGGGCGGAGGGCTGTGGAGGCCGCGGACAGAGGCTTACTGTGGCGGGTGAGCGCGGCCCGCGCGCGACGCCCAGCGCACCGAGCGAGCGGCGCCGACACCACCCAGCCCCGAAGGCCACACGGCCGCTCGGCGCAGGCGGGCCAGCGTCACGTGCGCCGAGGCCGGCGCGGGCCCGCCGGCCGCCCAGCGAGCCCGCCCACCCGGGCAGTGCTACTCACGTCTCGCCGTCCTTGAAGTCGGGCCGCACCATCAGAGCCGAGATGAGCATGCAGAACACCTGCTCGTAGCTGGCCGTGCTGTGCACCACCTGGCCCAGGTTGCTGAAGCCCGAGACGTTGGCGTACTCCTCGTACAGCCAGCTGAACACCAGGTCTGACCGACCGCCGATATCCTCCAGCACGTGGCCCAGCATCTCTGCGGCAGCAGCAGGGACAACAGTGAGCAACACTGACGGCTCCGCGTCTCTGCACCCTGGAGATGGTGGTGCGGAGCGGTCGCCAGCTTTTGCGGCGAGACGGACACTTTACCGGGCTCCATCCCAAGAACAGCGAAATGAATCCAGTGCAGACGGCCATCTTGGGTCGCAGAAAAAAATCACACTGCATTGGAGGCCAAGAAACGATGTTAGCGCGCGGCTTTGCCACTTATGGATGAAAGCCTCTCCTTCTTCTGCCCTCTCTGCTGACGGTCGGCGCCCCGGCTCTAGCCGGGTGCCGGCGGCAGGCCACCCCCGGCCGGCGACATACTCACTCTCCAGCAGGTGGCCGGTGAAGTGGGACGACATCATGGCGAGCAGCTTGGAGCGGGCGGCGGCCAGCCCGCCAGCGCGCGCCGTCCGCTCGGCCGCCAGCAGCCGGTCCAGCGCAGCCGTCATCATCCGCTCCAGCTCGTCAGCCGGTAGCGGCCGCGTGATCTCCGGAAGACGGAGCGGCTTCGCCTGCCGGCCGCACGTGCTCAGCACGGGCTCGGCACGGGTCCAGTACGGGTTCAGCGCGGGTACAGTACGAGTTCAACGCGGACTTGCACGCGCTCAGCACAGGCCCAGCACGGGTCCAGCGCGGGCTCAGCACGGACTTGCTCATGCTCAACAAATACGCAGTGGGGGGCGGAACGCGCCCCTCGCCCCGCAGCGCCACACCACACGCGGTGACCGAGGAACAGCTCAAATGTGTCGCCCCCGCTCGAACGACTGCTAACGGCGCTGTAGACTAGCGGCTCAGGCCTTCGCTACATCACTGGTCTTCGCGCTCAGCGAGGGTATGCCAGTCTCTCACGCAAGTTGACGCAGTAAGATTGGTTCGTTTGGCCTACTGTGACGGAAAGCATAGATCTAATAGCTAGTCCTAAGAAACGAAATCTCTCACGACGGCTGTAACGGGCGAAACTATAGGGTTTCATTCCACACGTCGATTTTAAAAAGGCTGCGATATGCAAAAAGCAGCATTACCTAACACAATTATGTATGTTAAAGATTGTTCAGCATTTGGAAACTTGCCTTTACAGCCAGTGTTCATCTGCCTAGGTCTACGTCCTTATCGAATCCTAAACCCTACTGACTGCATGAAAGACACCAATCCAAATGTTTTGAAATTTTCAACATACTTGGCAGTTGCTTTGCGTGCTTGGCACATTTTTAGTATCCTTATTCGCGCTTGTTAAATTGACTGTTCCAGTGCAACACCCAGCATACACGTTTAAAGCTAGCATCGCCGGACGCCTGGCCGACAGCGACCGGCGGCGGCGGCCGGGTCCTCACCATGTGCTTCTTGTTCATCTGTCCGGAGGGGAGCAGCGCCACCTTTTTCTTGGTCTCGCGGCCCGACACGGTGCCGGCCAGCACGGTGGCGATAGGCTGCCGCGCGCCCGATGGCGTCTCCTCCTCCTCCGCCATCTCCCAGTCGTGCTGCCAGGCCAGCGACGCAGGTCACACGCACGGCGTGAGCAGGGCGCCGGCAAAACGTCTACTCGTGGAGGGCAGCCGTCAGGCGGATGGTGGAGGGCAGCGCTCAGGCGGGGGGCAGCGGTCAAGTGGAGGGCAGCCGTCGGACGGAGGGCAGCAGCTGCACGGCTCAGACCGCGCGATGCCCGTCAGTACCAGGTGATGGCGGCGTATTCAGTCGATGCCCCAGAGCAGTGAACACCTCCCCACACCGTCTCGCGTTAGTCCGCCGTCCCCCAGACATCGCAGGCGCGGCCCGCGCCGGCCGCCGACGCGCCGGCGGCGACTCACTCACGTCCGTCATCTGGATGCCCTGATTGCGCGTGGCCTCGACGCCGGGCCCGATGCCGGCGTGCGTCAGCTGGGCGGCCAGCAGGCGCGCCACGTGCTGGATCTGGGAGCTCGTGCCGGCGGCCGAGATTGGCGTGAACGTGTTGCTGAAGAGCGCCGGCGGGGTGTCCGGCAGGTTGTGCTGTCGGGCGGGCCACAGCGTTACATTGCTGGCGAGGCGTCCACAGCGCCGATCACGAGGCCGAGGTGACCGGTGCGGAGCTGTCGCCGTTTGTTGTCTGGGGAGGTGCGGGATCCCGGTGGCCGACACAGCACGGCCAAAACACCGAGGCCGCCTCTGAGGACACTTAGCTTGGTAGGTTGCATAACTGGTTTTGTTCCACCCACAACGCCGTGGCAAAACAACACACAGCTATGCTAAGGATAAAACGGATCAGTCAATGAGTTATGCGGAGACCAACATCCCCTGAAACATCACGATCAAACGCTTACCCAAGTTAATCCATTGTGAAAACGAGCCTGAGTTGGATGCCAGGTCGAATATACGGTCCCTGAATGAGATGGGATGCAAAAGTGAATCCAAGTCTGGCCCTGGGGATGCAAGCCAGACGTAAAATAAGGCAGAAAAGACGAATGTAAAGAAATTTTAAAGGAAGACCGCTGAGTAATTCCCTCGACGACGAACACGCCAGACTCCCATCCCCGGGCACACCAACAGACTCGGACGTCGGTGCATACCCCGGTGTCTTGATGCCACCTACATCAAACCGACAAGCGAGCCTGACCACCCAAATACCACAGAGAACAAGTTCATCGCGGTCACCATCAGCGCGGCCGCCGGCTGATGACGCGAGGGTTCCGCGGCGGGCCGGCCGCCCAGGCCGCTCTCACCATGGACACGAGCACGAGGTTGGCGGCCAGCGCCGGAGTCAGCCGCTCGAACGCCCACGCCTCGGTGATGTCGATGGCGTTCGCCTTGTGCTGCTTCTTGTCGAGCGGCGCCGGCCGCGGCGGCGCGCCGCCCGCCTCCTCCTCCTCCTCGTCCTCATCGTCGTCGTCCTCGACGAACTTCTGCGGGGAGAGAGCGCGTCAGATGTGACGCAGGACCTCACGGGGCGAGGCAGCGGAGAAGAAAGCAGAACCCGAGAGCAGAAACAAAACCTGCACGACGCACCATGCTAGTTTGAAGCCAGCAAAAAAGCAACCCACCCGGGAGGCGATCCCCACCAGGCACCGCCCATGGTCAACCGTAGCACGCGGCTCGGTGGGCCGGCCTGCAGCTGTCCGCCGGCGGTGCGCTCCAGCGTGTGTGCGACTCCCCTGCTCTCGGCCGGCGGTGTGTGGCCGCCCCCTTCTGAGCGCGCGCGCACCGGCGGTGACTCGCCTGCCGTTTGGTGACGGGTGTGTCGTCGTCGGCGTCGCCGGGCGGCTCCTCGGGCCGCCGCTGCCGCTTGCGCAGCTCCTCCGGCGGCGGCATGGCACGCATCACCTGCGGCCGGGGCCGGCGTCAGGCGCGGCGGCCGGGCGGACCGTCACACGGGTGCAGGCGGAGACGACCGTCACACGGGGTCAAACGGCCGTCAGACGGGTCCAGGCGGAGACGACCGTCACACGGGGTCAGACGGCCGTCAGACGGGTCCAGGCGGATACGACCGTCACACGGGGTCAGACGGCCGTCAGACGGGTCCAGGCGGAGACGACCGTCACACGGGGTCAGACGGCCGTCAGAAGGGGCCAGACGGAGACAGCCGTCGGACAGGGTCAGATGCAGACGGCCATCAGACGGGGCCAGATGGAGACGGCCGTCACACGGGTCCAGGCGGGGTAGACCGTCACACGGGTCCAGGCGGAGAAGACCGTCACACCGGGCCGGACAAAGACGGTCGCCACACAGGGTCGGACGGAGAAGACCGTCACACGGGTCCAGGCTTAGAAAACCGTCACACCGGGCCGGACAAAGACGGTCGCCACACAGGGTCAGACGGAGACAGCCGTCACAACGAGCAAGATGGAGACAGCCGTCACACGGGGTCAGACCGCACGTGCACACAGCAGATGGACAGCCACAGAGGAGCGGACCGAACACTCACACTGGGCTACACAGAGGAGTCGGGCCAGACGGCCAGAAGAGTCATAGCAGACAGACTCGGTCGGTCGGGCCGAGGTAATACGGCCAGGTCGGCATGCCACAAACAGACACGGCCGGCTGCACCCGATCAGACAAGGGTAAACAGAGCATGTACTGTGCACTGAGTGCGTGCACGGAACTTTCCAATGATAGCGACAGCATATTGCAACACACAGATTATTTATCAAATCACACGGCTTCATACATTCAGGTTTAAATTTTCTTAGCAATGGTATGGAACAATCAGGACAAATGAAAGCTCTCCTTGACGAGAATCGCGCGCTAAGCCCCTCCAGATCAAGCCAGACACCGCAACCCCCCTCCCCTACCCTAGTCCCGCCTGTCATTCGTCGAGATTGTGTGAAGTCACGGACGGGGGACCTCGCGTTTGATTCCTCTCGCTGTCTCCCGTCTCTCACCTCGCTCTGGGAGGCCCCCAGATCGGTGAGCAGGGTGCAGATGTTGCGGTGACTGTCGTACGACGCCGGGTGCTTCAGCAGGTTCAGCAGCTGCATCTTCATGTGCTTCCTCACTGAGTTCACCTGGGACTTGGAGAGCGTCGGAGGCAGGTTCGCTGCGGCAATTTTTCTCATGAGTTTCTTACATCAAAGAAAGCTAAAAATTTCATGAATACAATGCCCAATCCCTTTCAGAGTTCAATATCATTTTACAACTTGGCGGTTACATCCCAAATTTACGTCATCCCATACTGCCTAACAAATGCACTTGCAGGACATACTTAGATACTCTGACGTACTATAACATTGCGTGCAATACTGCTCAAGTGTCAATATTTCCACAGCACTAATAAGAGCGCTCCGTTGCAGCGCGGCTGCGCGGCATCGGGTCGGTAGCGCCGGGGCCGGTGGACGCCGCGCCACTGTACTGACCGTGCAGCGACTCCAGCGCCGAGATGACCTGGGTCAGCAGCGACGGCCGGCAGCGCGCGATCAGCGTCAGCGAGCCCATGCACGCCATCAGGTTGACGCTGCTGATGTGCGGCGAGCCGTGGAACTTGATCAGCTGCGCGAACACGGACCTGGCGGCGGCGCACAGCGGTCGGGGCGACGCAGGGGCAGCACGGTCGGGACGGCACAGGGGCGGCAGGTCGGGACGGCACAGGGGCGGCAGGTCGGGACGGCACAGGGGCGGCAGGTCGGGGCGGCACATGGGCGGTACGGTCGGGGCGACACAGAGGCGGCACGGTCGGGGAGACGCAGGGGCAGCACGGCCGGGGCGACAGAGAGGCGGCACGGCCGAGACGGGCGCCACAGCTCCCTTGTTGATCACGGCCGCGTCAAAGGCACGGCGGGGCTGAAAGCGGCCAGCGCGGTATTACGGAGGCGGCGATGGGCCGGCTCGGGGCCCAGGGCTGCCACACGCCAGCCGCGTCCCAGTGACCACACAGGACGTATAACGCGGTTGGAGCGGCGACGCAGAGGCAACTCGTGGTCTGATCGCGGACAGGGCGGCGTTCGCCCAACGGCGGCAGCCTGTCTTAAGGCAGCATCCCGTCCTATGTCCACAATCTATCCTATAATGGCAGCCTGACGTCTGTCAACAGTTCGTCTCATGACGACAGCCTGCAGGAAGCCCACAGCCTGTTAACGACAGCGGTCTGCTCTTTAGTGGCGCGGCCGCCATCCCGGGCCGGTGGCTGCGGCCGGCCGTCCTGGCCGCCACCCCGGGCCGGCTGCCACCCCGGGCCGGTGGCCGCGGCCGGCTGGCCCACGTACCGGGCCTCCTCTTCCAGCTTGCGCGGCCGCGCGATCTTGAGCGTTATAGGCACGCCGTCCAGACAGAACTCGGGTCGCTTCAGACTGCCTGGCTCCGAGAACGTTTGCAGCAGGATCACCGTCTCCATGAACTTGACGGCCATTGTGCGCACACTGCGGGACGGGCCATCGACACGCTGTAAGGCCTGCACCGAACGGAAGCATCACGCAAGACAACTGAGGCTGAGGGACATGGGTTGCGCGCGTCCCAAACGCGGGACTTTGCACAGCTGGTGCACGCCGCGGCTCCTTACACCGACGGCAAACGCCGCGGAGGTGGTAATGTGACGGGACGATACCAAGGCAACGGACACACGTCCTTAAATGCTTTGCAACAACGTCAAAACACGATAGCCCTGATCCCGAGAAGACGTGGCAGCACGCCTACATTCAAACAAGACACCAGGCTACGCAGCAGCCGACGCTGCCGACCGGCAGGGTTCTCCGGCGCACCGCTGACGAGACGCCGTCGCGAGCGAGCGTTGGATAGAGGACGCGGAGGCTCGGGCCGGCTGCGTCTGTGCCGCTCACCCGTCGTTGTCGTGGTCGACGTAGCCGATAATCCGCCGCTTCATCTGACCGAGCATGCTCCAGGCCGAGTCCATCACCTCGGTCACGGTCCGGGCCGAGCTGAGCCACTGTAGGGTCACCTGCGGTGACCAGCGGACAACACGGGTCAATGGAGAACACGGGTCAGCTGGGGTCATCGCAGCGTCGCCTGCGGCGGCCCAGACAAAGGTCGTCAACAGAGGCCACGGGTCAACCGAGGCCAGCGGTCCAACCTGGGCCGCGCCAATGTGGCGGTGAGACACAGGATCAACCGGAGGCAGAGAGATCACGGGGTCAACTGAGGCCGCGGTCCGGGCTGAGCCGGGCCAATATGGCGGTGAAACACAGGATCAACCGGAGACAGAGAGGCCACGGGATCAACAGTTGACCCCAATCGGATCGAAGTGAGCCAACAGCAGCATGACCTGGGGTCGTTTGTTTATATGAGACCGTCAAAGACCATGGAGCTCACAATGAGCACGAAGTCAAAGAGTGGTGAGACAGGCTGCAAAAAGCCAGCTCGAAAAATGGCTGTCAGAAAGGACTGTGATCCTGGATGGACAGGAGTGAGACATCTGTCCACCTTGATGGCAGATGCAGCGCCTGTCACTACCAGCCCTAACAAAGAACCATAACACATATCAACGAGCACCCACGCAAGCCACGACCAAGCCCCCTCTTTCTTTTTTTAAAATACGGCAACATACGGGCGCCAGATGCATGCAGTTCAGAACTCAAGCCTTACCCTGTATATGTTGGAGATGGCCTGCATGGTCCGCTTGACCACTGCCATGGAGAAGCTGTCCTGCAGCAGGATGCCCAGGTTGGCCACCACCTTAGGGATCATCTCATTGTCTTTTTTGCTGTGAACGCAGGGATGTATGTCAGCGGCTTATGGTCGAGCCAGCATGTGCCCATCTGACTTAATCTTCGCGCATAAGCACAGAAAGATGCAACCATAACCTGGCCATGTCTTTATCAATGGGGCAGGTGAGTTCCGGACCAGTGATCACGCAACCATGAAGCTTTTGGGTGACCACTTCATGGAAAGATAGGGTGCATCAGCTCTAAAACGTAGTTACACATCATTTGTCCCAAGGGATCTACACTGGGTGTGGTCACTAGACAGTGTGAAGACGCAGGCATTTTTCGTAGTGTTTTTTTTTTGCCGTATTTTTTTTCGTAATTCGTAACGCCGGAATCCTGATATAGGAAACCATCCACTATTACATACGCCTACGTGCACCTTACGTGCGCCTATAGTCTAGCAGCAGATCTTACAATTTGAGACTTGAGAGTTGAGTGGCAAACATGTGCGAACAATCATATGCGGGAATTGAGAGGATGCATCAGCATCACAGATGGGAGAAACGTTGGGACTATCGTTCTTGCCTGGTGTATTAATATATGAACATACTGACAGTGTGTATGTGTACCCTCTGTAAACATACCAACACACTAGATGAGGACAATTGTCTGATCATTCTTTCATCTGTAATCCTGCAAAACACTGAAAATGTGCAACTGAGAAGCCCTCCCAACTAGTGTGGGTTAAGTCATTTACATTGTATTTTAATATACCACTCTACTTTGAAGCAAGTAAGTATTCCCATTGTTAATGCATGCATCACTACAAGTCATTGTCAATGCATGGTTTATTCCTGGATACAAAGTTCATCTAGGCAATCCTTATCCAGGGAACAGAGCAATGAATGCTCTGTGCAGACCTGAGCTGGCCTTGTTCCTGAATGGGACGTCCAGGGGTAGATGGAACCCACTCACCATGCCTCTTCGATGAAGCCGAGCACAGTGCGCCGCACCTCAGCACTTGGATCGGACTGGAAGGCTACCACTTCATCAAGGAAGTTGTCTAACAGTGCTGGGTCCTGGTGGATGATCAGCTCCTGCACCTTCTTCAGATTGGTCACCTTCTGCCTCTCATCTTGAAGCAGTGAGGCCTGATTCAACAGCTCCACACACTGGAAAACATATGGTGGTGGATGCAAGACCAGCTTATCCTCATACAAATACAACCTTTTCAAAAAAATAAAAAGCCTTTTTCTGCTACAGTTAAATCAATTGATTCTGAAATGCTCAGAAGTCAATAAAGCTGGAAAGCACTGTTGAGATTGAATGTTGCTCACCATTTTAACCAAGAATCTCATATATTATGCATCACCAACTATTTCTGTTGCTCATTGGTGTTTTGGGCAAGCTGACTGCAGTGGTCATTTGACGTCAATAACGAGAGCATCACGAACTAGAAACACTTCTGCTGAAATCCTACCTGTTCCTGAGCATCATTTCCCTCACTCATTTCTCTGGAGGCCATTTCCACTCAATGCTTCAGCTCCTTATCATAAACTGATTATTCTGAAACATATAAATTGATAATGTTCTGTGCGACCATTACAAAACGCATCTGAACATGATGGCAGGTTCACATACTTTGAACTGAAGCATCAAACAGAGCCTGGTACAAGAGAGTAAGTGGTGGAAGAGCATAAAACATGCAATGTGCGTACTAGCCAAATGCCAGCTTATTGAGTAGGATGATGTGCAATATTGCCAGGATGTATATGAACAGGAATGCAGTGCAGATATCAGATGCACAGGAAACACTCATTCACATGGGAAATCTTGACTGACTGCATAGTGTCCAATACTCATGGGTGCAGTACCACAACAATCTCACACTATGCTTGGTTCACTATGTACAATATTGTCAGACATTCTTTGTGTATTTCTAAAATAACTTTCCAAAGTTCTTTATTTCATTATTTCATCAATATGTACAAATATATTTCTCCTCACCCAAAGTCAGCTACCAAAAGCCTAAATCAATCAAAATTTGAAAAAGTTGAAATGACTTACACAGAATGAGAAGTGCCAAACTAAGCAAATCTTCAGAACCTTCAAAAAATCAGAAGAGCAATCAATTATAATCTAGCACATGTAGCCATGCAGCTTCTTGGTGCCACTAATATTTTGCAGCATTAGCTTCCATATAACCAAACACTTACTGTGCTGAAGTTACCTTTTAGTCATATCTTAGTCACGTATGGTCATCATATGGCATACTATGATGAGCCATGCTGGTCAAGGCATACCACCATGGGAAACTGCATAATGATCCAGAACTGCAACTGCATCCACAACTTTGAGGTGCTCTGGCAAATGAGACAATTTTGTGCTTTGAAAATAGAACAGTACAGGCAAGAGGAAGGTGCCTTGGATGCCTCATGTGAATGACTGTGCCAGATGATAATCAATTATTAATGAGCACTAGTGTGTGTGACATCTGATAGCCCAAAGCAGTTCAGCAGGCACCAAACCATTAACTCAATAAAACAAGCATTTACATCAAAAGACCAGCAGAACAAAAACAAGGATATAGCTCAGAGTTTGCATGATGGCATTTGGAATCAAAGCTTACTTCAAGCAGTGTCTGATGTTGCAATCCATGAGAATTGATCACATCCCCTGGTTGTGAAATTCCAGATCAACTAGATAATTTTGTGGCAAACCTGTCCTGTGCTGAAATCATTAGCACTATGTCTTGCCCCTGATTTCATTTAATGTTTTGCATGACCACCGCCACCAGATGCATGTCATTCAAGTCAGGATTAAATATGGGTGCCTTTAGTGCCCCAAATCTAGCCCTTTATTCAGCACATATGCACCCTACAGAGCTCTAAAGATGGATAGTATCTTCATGTCATTTGATCAATATGGGCACTATCAGCCACCCTGTTGGTGGGTCAGCTGTAACTCTGAAACTGGCCATGAATATATTAGGCAGTGCTTTGCAACATGCTGCGGCTGGAGCTGTGACTCAGTTTTCTGCGGGTAACATCCATCTGATGCATGTTCATTTTGTACTCAATGAATTTGTTAAAACACCACTAATGAGCAAGTGAACATTCCAATCTATATCACAGAGCCAAGTAAAAGTTAAAGGTACAGTCAGATCCATAAATAATAGTTTCACTAAATTGCAGTTGGTTTGTAAGCAACATGACCTGTGAATGAAAATGCATAACAGCAAGCCTCTGCCTCCCAAGCACTTGCAAAAGATGGGCCAATACATAAATCAAACAAATCCATTTTAAAATGTCCTAATGTGCATGGCTTTATAAGTTTATGGCCACAAATCAGACTATTTTTCTGTAAATGGAACCTGGCTTTTTACTTTATATTAATTCCATTCTTCAATTCATTATATTCAATTTAAAATTTGCCCTGGACACCTGGAGGCATTACAATATGATCCATAGGCATTGCTGAATTACACAACAATTTTTAACCTATGCTTTTACCTTGGTCTATTAGAGGGCTGTTTGTTTATGGTTGCGGACCTGTTTGTGCTCAATGAATTTAACATATTTTCTGATACCTTAGCATGAAAGACCTAGTCAGCATGCAATATGACTAAATTTTTATGATGCAAGTGAAAAACATTTAATAACCATTTATATCATCCAAGTCATCTACATAGCTACACCTTATTTTAAATAATATAACAGCAAACCCAGGAGAGAAAATTTGCTGAATGTGTTTCAACATTTCCCCTGCAGAAACATGGGTTTCAAGTGTCCCTATAATAATAGATCAAACACATGGTGCTAAGCATGCCAATCCCATCATTTATAATGAATCATGATCTACCTGACATCAAATTTATGGTGCAGAAAGCACAAATTTCTCATGAGATTATAATCCCCCAATAAGACTGGCTTTATCTATAAACTATCAAGATGTAAGAAGTAATGTGATGTAAGTAATAAGTAATAAGTAATGTAAGACCTTTTGTAAGAAGATGAGCTCTTCCCAATTGCACATGCTGTTATTACTCTTTACAGTGATTCTGCTGAAAGTATGACCTATGGGCAATTACTATCTGGAACCAGACATTTTAAAATATAAAAAAGGGTTTTTGGTGCCTCCATCCTGCTCCATCAATTGACTCAAACAATTCAGCACAGCACAGTTAAAAGTTGGTGCAATTTCTACCACCAAGTTTCCTTTTTTGCCCACATCCCCTTCACAATTCATGGCTGGACTAAGCTGTTCTTTACTTCATGCTGAAGGGTGCCGAGGGAAACTCGTACGGACTGAAGTAGGTGGTACACGGATATCGCTCAAAATCGAACGATCTCGACCCCCAATGGCTTCAGTCTCTCCGGAGGCAGTCACCCAGCATTGAGCATTGGGCTAAAGTCGTTAATATGGCCATAACATACCCCTCCTCAATGTACCCATGCTTGGAAACCATCCAATGCCTCCCGCAACCGCGTTTCCGTTCGCGATATCGAGGCCAATCGCAAGCCAGGCCAACCGGGCCAATCGGCGCGCGGCGAAATCGGGAAAATTACGCTGGAAGCAGCAAATTACTAAATTAAAATCACTCGCTCTAAACATAGCAAATCCGAAATTATTCTGCAACACATGGAAAGGCCAGAACAGAAGCGACAACAAAAATCATGACAAGCTGTTTTTTGACATGACACATTTCAAAGCAAACTTCTGAAATAAGATATAGGCATAACATTCAAGTCAGGTGCATGCAAAAGAGAAACATACTCTAGGCTATTAGGGTGCACATGGCCAATTCAGATCAGCAGCTACAAAACACGAGCCCAAGTTAAAGTTCGGGGGGGACCCATTTCATTTCAGGGGGACGGGAGGCTCGAATCCTTTCAAATGTTTTAGAAACTATATTCATAGCAGAAATGCATGTACGAAAATTTTAGACATTGTGACATGATCATGAGAGCCTGCTTTTGCTGCCGGTCATGTTTGCTCGCCCCCCGCAGCTGTATGCAGTTTTTGCCGCGCGCAAGGGGGGGGGGGGCGAAACCCAGACTGAGCCCAGTCAGCATCCCAAATGGGACCCACATGGGCTAAATATGGGGCAACTGGGTTAATGTGGGAATGGGCTACAGGTGGGCTTTTAACCGGGCTCCAGCTGGGTCTCACATGGACGCCCACATCGTTTCATATTTTTTGTATGCACCAAAACTGTTCGTGCCTTGTACTTTTCCGTTGGAATTTATCACGTTTAGAAGAAATAGCCCACCAGGAGAGAATGCTTACATTGGTTGGATCCATATGGGCCATATGTGAGCAAGCTGGGCTCATGTCAACTTTAGCTCCCGGTGGGCTGGTGTCTAGGCTTAATCTGGGGCTCAGATGGGTTTCCCATATGTTGCATTCGCAATCAAGTTGCCACACACACAATATTGATGTGCATACCAGTCGTTTTTATTGCTTGGGTTTATCATATCGTGTACAATTGTTATAAATCACGGGATTGCTGCCTGGACTGGGGTTCACATGGGCTGAGCACGGGGTAGCTGGGCTCATGTCCGTGTAGGTCGCAGGCGGCTGGTATGCAGGCTCCATCTGGTACCCAGATGAGCTGCCCATACGCCACTATATTTGGTGCAGGTGCGTTAGGCTTGTTACCGTGTGCTCCCGCGTTGGATTTTTCCTTATCATGTACAAATGAGTACATAACAAAGGAGAACAGCTCGGGTTGCGGTTCATATGAGATGCATGTGGGCGAGTCGGACTCATGTCAACATCGGCCGCAGGTGGGCTGGTCTTTGTGTTTCATGTCGGACCCAGATGGGCCGCCCATATGTTACATGCGCAATAAAGTTGTCATATACACAGTTATGTGCATATCAATTATATCTGTTGTTTCAAGGTTTTACCATATCGGACACAATTATTTTAAATGTGCCACCTCCATGCTCACGTCCTTATAGTTTGCGGGCGGGCTGATATTTGGGCTCCTTCTGGGACCCAGAAAGGCTGCCCATATGCCCCTATATTTGGTGCAGGTGCACTAGGTCTGCTACCTTGTGCTCCTACGGTGGATTTTTCTTCATCGTGTACAAATGAAGCACATAACAAAATAAAGCAGCACGACTTGGGGTCCATATGGGATGCATATGGGCAAGTCGGGCTCATGTCAACATGGGCTACAGGTGGCCGGTCTTCGGGCTTCACGTTGGACCCAGATGGGCTGTCCATACGCTGACATCTCTTACAGAAATGCATTAGTTTCGGACTTAACTCTGCATGGCTGGATATTTTTTGATTGCGTACAAGCTAGTTTGCAACAAGGGTGAGCGGCATAGACTCAGATCCAAACGGGCCGCAGGTGGGCAAGCGGGCCACATGCCAGCATGGGATGCAAGCGGGCTAGTGCCTCGGTCCCATTTGGGACCCAGGTTGGCTGCCCATATGCTATCACATTGATTATGCGCGTGATAATTTTCGTATGGTATGCTCCCTGGTTCGGTTTTACCTTGTCACGTGCCAATAGGAGGGATTGCTGGCACGGATCTCATCCTCATGAACTGCGCGTGGGCGAACCTAGCTCATGTAAACATTGACTGATTCACTGTCACGTCACTTGAGGCAGTTGGTGTGTTCCGTGCTGGAAGTTTGTGCGCTAAGGGCATGGAGTGAGCCCTCTATTTACGTTTCACCGGCTGATTGTTCATTGCTCGCCTTTGGAGCTCCCCGGTAATTACGGGTGTCCCGCTGGCCGGTCGCCCGTTGGGATCTGAGCAGTGGCGAGTGGGTGTTTGGCATGACCGGTCCGCTGACCGGCACCTCCGCGTTCCCTTCAGGGGCGCGAAGGTGCCCATCAGCGGGCCGGCTGGCCAGGTGGGCCGGCAGCACCGAGCACGCCGCTAACCACTGTCTCCTATAACGTTGGTCGGAATTTCTGGCGGCTGCATGCAACTGATCAGATGCAGTTTCTTTGAGCTGCTTGCTGTTCAAAGAACACAGACCCAGGGGGTCGTGATGGATTTATCGGCAGATTTAGTGTCAGAAGTCCGACGTGGACGACTCGACGCAATTATTTCACTATTTGGAAGTTAATATTCCACTTACCAACCGTCTGTAGAGACTTTCGGCTTGTGGAGAGTTGTCGCACGTTCATAGCATTGGTGGTTGGATGGTGCAATTGGCTAGTCAGTTCTCGACAGTATTCGATGGGTGCTGTGTATCCTTAATGTTATAAGCCTGGAACCATCGATCCCAGCCAACAAAGGCTTCCTGATCATTTCATTCCTTACGATCTAGCTGTACCACCAGTTTTATGAGCTAACCGATATATTTGTGTGCAACGGCATTTGCCAGGCAGGAGAGTATTCGGATACCGCATCGTATTGCGTCGTTTTACCTTCGCCCTAAATTCGCCATTTTTTTCATGAAGATGGGGAGCGGCCGATGTGACGCCGCAGAAAATCCAGCGGATTAATCCCAACTCTCTTGACCTCAGCAGATTCATCAATCTCGCCATTGGTAGTCAGTCTGACTTTTCTTGTTCCATATTACACCTCACTAGGACAGGTCAAATGTCAATTTTTCCTGGGAACGACGTTCTTCAGCTTTGTATACGAATGTCTGCGTAGCAATGTAGCTTAACAGCATAAAGCTTAAAGAAGCGTTGTTTTTCTTTAATTTTGACTAGCATCATATACATATATATGTATGTTCGGATATGCATAAATACATTGCATGTGTTTTGATTATACGTTTATCATGCATGGCTCTGTTGACGTAACGTTGTTAGCCGCCGTGCGCCATCGGCGGATCCATGGGTTGCCACCCGCCGCTCGCGCCGGCCGTGGATTATGACGCAGCATTCCGACAAAAACTTCGCTTTTCAGAAATCAGACTGATAGTGAAACGCTTTTGGTGTTAAAACGCCCACAATGAATAGTCATAAGATGGCGAAACATTCGGCGCGATTGCACGTTCCAGAGAGATATTCTCAGAAACTGCAGGAGCGGGTAAGGGTGCATCGCCCTACCCTTAACAGGGAAAGTGTTTAAGCATATAACTATGAATCCATTTGAAACTGTGAGATCCTACGTACGACATGGACGTGTCGAAAATCATTGATGGTTAGTTCCCATGCGGCATGATTCAAAGAAAAGAAAAAGGGATGATAAGCTATGGCGTGAAGTGTTTGCCACTTTAAAGCTGTATGTCGTTCTGAAAGAGTGCTGGTGCATTATTATAGGTTTGGATCCAAATGTTCAACGTTATCTCGAAACTAGAAACCATTTTCCAGCAAAGGGTCCGCTGCAGATGACGCTAAAGCTATTACATTAAGAAAATGATCCATGAAGTCGAAGTGTGAAATATATGTCATCGGTTGCCACCGCCAAACGGTTGCCTGTATTTCATTTATCGTAAGCTTTCAACTCGTCGCACTCGTCGCATACACGCACAATCCACATCCACTAGGAATCAACGATGCTGTATTTTTTGTGAACCATTCGGCAGGAGGGCAGTCAGAAGCCTCTTCATAAAATCGCTTGTGTGTGTGGGGAGGGGGAGGGCGCTGCCTGGGCCAAATCGCCGCCGAACACCTGTGGTAGCTGTTTGTTCTCAAGCCTGTTGGCCAATAAAACTTCCTTATCTGGGTCCTGCTACCGCCCACCGTCGGCGGCCACTGCCCTGGCCTGGCTGTCTTCCGCATGACTGACTGCAAACTGATCGTATGGCTGCTTCTTGTATATTTCTGAATCACCACTACTACTAACTGGTGTGTAAAATATATGTTGGACACGTGCAACAGCATATTTTCTGAATTGTCCTCCCATACACCACACCACCCCAGAAGAAAACCTCCGGTAAGCTGGCTGCCTTAGACGTGACAAGGCCCAACGGACATTTAATTGCCCAGCATTAATATAGGCGACTTTATCTGTTTTTTTATGTGTGTGTAGGCAGGGGCATAGCCGGAGCCTTGCACAGGGAACACAGGGTTGACAAAAAGCCCTCCTATGGTGGCTCCCCCCCCCCAAAAAAAAATCCCTGGATATTGCTTGCTCGTTAAGAAGGGATATGGTTGTCTTCGTTTCGTTGTTATTTCTAGCTTGTAGCTAGAATAGAAACCAGAAGCTATCGTAAGATCAATTATGTTTGCATTTTGTAGCCTGAAATAAACTGCAGAAATCAGGCGTTGAACGACCGCATGGAATAAATCACCGGCGCCCTGAATTTACCAGGGCTTGGTGGAATCTTCATATACCGATACAATTCAGAAGCTTTATCGGAATGTTTTATCTGCGTTCTACAGACACTGAGGACATCGCGAAGGTAGGATGTACATCGATATGCTTGATCCAAATTTTGAAGGTGAAAATTTGATTGTAGTTAAGTGGTAAGCAATGTGTATATACATGGGCAGACCATGTTTGGAAATGTTTAACACTCGGTCAGAATCGATAAGTGATACAATTTATGCAACGCGGCTTTTTAACGTCGCTCGTAAAGCTTGGGAACAAAAACCTAG